AAATGTGGTGAGCTTGGACGTTTAAGCTAAAGGAAATGGTGCCGAGTTTCTTGTTCCAAGTTTGAAGTGTTAAAGGCATTGCATGTATCCTGTTTTCCCAGGTCCCTCCTTTGTCCCCCTTCACCATGCCGTCAAATTGTTTTCTGAAAGGCCCAGTCCTTGACTTCCCTGTTCCCTTCTCCCCTCCCCTTCCTCCCGTTCCCCCCTTTTTTCCCCGCTCTCGCTAGCTTCCAAGAGATGCCGACCAACAACTTTGTGGAGAGCAGCTTCTGGAACTTCGACGCACTCTTCCAGCCGCAGCAGCACCCCGCCAGAGACTCACACGATACCTTCTTCCTCACAGGTACGCTGATGTAATTAAGTGTGTTACACACCCCTCTCAGCTCTTCCAGCCGCAGCAGCAGCACCCTGCCCGCCCGGTACTCCCATGATACCTTCTTCCTCACAGGTACGTGACTTGAAACCAAGTCAATGCACAAAAGGGACCAGCTTACCTCACACACACACCAAGTCAAGGTCCTCTCGGACCTTCCAGCCGCAAGCAGAGGATAGTTTTTTCTTAGGCGCCTCAAAAATCGTCTCAGCTCACGCGGAGCTTACCTCACACACACACCAAGTCAAGGTCCTCTCTGACCTTCCAGCCGCAAGCAGAGAAGAGTTTTTCTTAGGCGCCTCAAAAATCGTCTCAGCTCACGCGGAGCTTACCTCACACACACACCAAGTCAAGGTCCTCTCTGACCTTCCAGCCGCAGCAGAGAAGAACCTGCTGCACACACATACACGCACACACACACACACGCACACACACACACACACACACACACACACACACACACACACACACACACACACACACACACACACACACATCCACCCCGTTCCCCAAACCCCCACTTTGTTCCCCCCTGCAGCCCCCGCTGCAACAAAGGAGCTTCCAGGGGACTACCTGCAGCGCGTGAAGACGATGCACAAGACAGGAGGACACGGCTCAACTGGCTATGGTTACGACTGGAAGCGAGGAGAGGCGGAGAAGAGCCTGCTGCGCACCGACACCACGGCGGTGTCCCTCTCCCCCCCTCTTCCCCATGCCTTTCTTTTCCCGTACACACCCCCCAGTCATGTGCCTTTCTCCCTGTGTTTCCCCTTGATTTCGGCTGCAGCCCCCGCTGCAACGAAGGAGCTGCCAGAGGACTACCTGCAGCGCGTGAAAACGATGCACGAGACAGGGGGGCATGGCTCCACTGGTTATGGATACGACTGGAAGCGGGCGGAAGCAGAGAAGAACCTTCTGCGCACTCACACCACTGCGGTTTCCTCCCGCATGCTGTACCAGCTGGCGCAGGAGGGCTTCCAGCCTCGCAAGTACTTCTCGATCGACCGGGTGTTTAGGAATGAAGCAGTCGACAGGACGCACCTGGCGGAATTTCACCAGATTGAAGGTGGGTTGGGGTTGAGATGGGTGTGCAACGGTTGGGTGGGTGGGTTCGGTGTCCTCTCGCATGCTGTACCGGCTGGCGCAGGAGGGCTTCCAGCCGCGCAAGTACTTCTCCATTGACCGGGTGTTTAGGAATGAGGCCGTGGATCGCACTCACCTGGCAGAGTTCCACCAAATCGAAGGTGGGTTGGGATTGGGATGGGTGTGCAACGGTTGGGTGGGTGGGCTGGGCTGGGTGTCGTCGTGCATGCTGTACCAGCTGCGAGTGGGGGGTTGGGGTTGTGGGCTGAAAAGGGTGTGCAACGGTTGGGTGGTTAAGTTGGGGTGTCGTCTCGCATTCTTCTGAGTTGCTCCATATGTCCCCTCTCTCCTCTCTCTCTACCCTCCCCCCATCCATCTACATCCCCCCACCCCACCCCACCTCTCTCTCTCAGGTGTGATCTGTGACCGGGGTACCACTCTCGGCGACCTCATAGGCGTGCTCAACCAGTTCTTTGCCAGACTCGGTGAGACTCAAATCTGGGTGAGACTCGGTGCTTTTTTAGTTTTGAGACGTCTCAAATCTGGGAGACCTCAAAGGCGTGCTCAGTCAGATCTTTGCCAGACACGGCAATTCTCCAGAGTGCCTTCGCCCCCCCAGCTCCTTCCCCTCTCTGGGCTGCTCTAAGAGTACATCTTCCTCCGTTTGCATCTAAGGAGGAGGGAAGATGCATCTCCCCCACTTCCCTCCTCCTTCCCGTTTCGCTCTCTTTCCCTCCTTCACTCGTTGGTCCCTCATTCATGTTGCCACGTTGAATCAATATTCATTCCTACTGCACCTTACGGCACCTTACAGGCTTACCCCCTCTCCGCCCCCCTTCTCCTCTCTCCTCCCTCTCCGTCCCCCTTCTCCTCTCTCCTCCCTCTCCGTCCCCCTTCTCCTCTCTCCTCCCTCTCCGTCCCCCTTCTCCTCTCTCCTCCCTCTCCGTCCCCCTTCTCCTCTCTCCTCCCTCTCCGTCCCCCTTCTCCTCTCTCCTCCCTCTCCGTCCCCCTTCTCCTCTCTCCTCCCTCTCCGTCCCCCTTCTCCTCTCTCCTCCCTCTCCGTCCCCCTTCTCCTCTCTCCTCCCTCTCCGTCCCCCTTCTCCTCTCTCCTCCCTCTCCGCCCCCCTTCTCCTCTCTCCTCCCTCTCCGTCCCCCTTCTCCTCTCTCCTCCCTCTCCGTCCCCCTTCTCCTCTCTCCTCCCTCTCCGCCCCCCTTCTCCTCTCTCCTCCCTCTCCGTCCCCCTTCTCCTCTCCGCCCCCCCATAAGGTATCACGCGCCTGCGTTTCAAGCCTGCCTACAACCCCTACAAGGTGACTTTTGTGTCGACTCAAGAGTCACTCTCTACCCCCCTCCCCTCCCCGCCCCTCCTCCCCGCTCCCTCTTCCATCCTTTCTTCTCTATCCCCCATAAGGTATCACTCGCCTGCGTTTCAAGCCTGCATACAATCCCTACACCGAGCCCAGCATGGAAATCTTCAGGTGAGTCTCAGGGTGGCCGTCAGGTGGGTTCTGATGGTGGGGCAAGGTGAGTTTCCAGGTGCCCTTGCTGCTCTCTCACGACACGGTCGCCCTCATAACCTCTTCCATGCCTGTCGACCTAACCTGACCACCCCCATCCGCGTGCAGTGAGGTGTATTTTGAGGCGCCTCAAAATACACGACACGGTCGCCCTCATAACCTCTTCCATGCTGTTTTTGAGACGTCTCAAAAACACCCTCGCTACACGAGACGTCTCAAAAACACGGTCGCCCTCATAACCTCTTCCATACCTGTCAACCTAACCTGACCACCCGCCTCCTCTCCCCCACCACCACCACTACGAGCAGCTCCAGAAGTGGGTGGGGGTGGGCAACAGCGGCATGTTCCGGCTCGACTCGTCTCGTTCTCCATACCTATCAACCTAACCTGCCCTCTCCCCTCCCCACCCCATCCCCCCACCGCAGCTACCACGAGCAGCTGAAGAAGTGGGTGGAGGTGGGCAACAGCGGCATGTTCCGGCTCGACTCGTCTCGTTCTCCATACCTATCAACCTAACCTGCCCTCTCCCCTCCCCACCCCATCCCCCCACCGCAGCTACCACGAGCAGCTGAAGAAGTGGGTGGAGGTGGGCAACAGCGGCATGTTCCGCCCTGAGATGCTTCTTCTCTTCTTTCACAGCTGAGCATTCATGCGTTTTCTGTTTCTTCCCCCCTCCTCTCCTCCCCACTCACCATCGCAGCTACCACGAGCAGCTAAAGAAGTGGGTGGAGGTGGGCAACAGCGGCATGTTCCGCCCTGAGATGCTGCAGCCAATGGGCCTCCCCCCTGACGTCTCTGTCATTGCCTGGGGGCTGTCCCTTGAACGGTGAGGACTCATTCAACCACACTGAATTGCACTGGAACTAGACTAGAGATGTTATCGTGGGATGCTGCAGCCAATGAGATTGCCCCCTGACGTCTCTGTCAAAGCCTGGGGCCTGTCCCTTGAACAGTGAGACAAGAGACTCATTGAACTGCACTGAACCCACAAATCACATTAGATCGCACTGAATCGCACTGGAAGTAGACCAGAGATGCCAACACAAGTGCTGCAGCGCCAATAGGGTTCCTGCCTGACGTCGCTGTCATTGTCTTGGGCCTTTTCCCTGCTCACCCTCCATCTCTCCTTGCCTCTGTCTTACCCCCTTACAAGCAGACCCACTATGATCCTGTATCACATTGACAACATCCGTGATCTCTTTGGTCATAAGGTGAGAGTGAGAGAATAAGGGGTGGTAATCTGTCAATCTTTGAAGCACCTTAAAGCACTTGATAGCACTGGTTTCAGCGTTCCGGCTTAAGCTTGATTCTCTAGAGCTCGTGCACTTTTCCGATTCTCGTGCCTGCCTCTCTTTCACCACTTGTGCCTGCCTCTCGTTTACTCATGCACTTTCTCGCTTCCTCCTCCTCCAACTCCCTTCTGACCCTTCTCATCACCCCCCACCACCACTCCTCACCGCTCCAGGTTGACCTGAAGCTGATCAAATCGAATCCAATCTGCCGCCTCGGCCTTTGAACTCAGAAGACCCAACCACGAGCCCTGTGTTGTCACATGGAGTCAGAGCCACGAAAACAGTCTCTTCCACCATGACTTCCCACAACCTCACATCTCAACTCTTACATATGCAATCTATAATCACCAATTAGTTCCGTTCACACAAATCCGCGTTCCCTTTGTTGGTCCGTTTGACATCATTAGTGAGCTTGCTGTACATTACGAAAAATAATGACTTCATACGGTAGCTGCTTTCAGCTTAGAGTTCAATAAGCTACATTCCAGTGCAGTAATGCAAATCAGGAAAAAATACTAGAGTATGTTTTGCATAGGGGCATGTGCGCTCAGCTACTAGAATCATTAACATCCTAAACAATTGAATGACATGCACACCACCCATGCACCATCAGGAATTTATGTGGCATTTCAAGCAACAGCGATGTAAAACTAAAAGTAAGATTAGTATATCTAGCTGCCATTAAACACCGGTCCATCGGACTCCTGCTGTGCCCCATGTTCCGCTGTTCTCTTGTCATCTTGTATCACTGTCCTCCTTACCCTCCTCCTGAGCCGTGTCACTGCTACTGCTGCTGCTACTCTTCTTGCCTACACCGACTTCCCTGTCACTGCCGCCGTCACCACCACTTCCTCTCTTCCCCTCCTCCCCACTCTCCACAACACTCCCATTCCTCCCCAACCCCCCCACGCCCTCAACCTCCCCCAATGTTTTCACCACAGGCCCTCCCAACGCCTCCTGCTTATACCTCACTCTCATTCGCGCCAGCCTCTCCTTCTTCTTCCTCTCCTTCTGCCCCTTCTGCCACAATTTAAACATTCTATCCCGCTCAATCGACCCCTGCCACTGCACCTCCCCTAGATGAGGCCAAAGCCACCGCCGCCCGTTGATCGCGTGGGCGGGGTCGTCCGTCTCTTCTGCTCTTTCCTCGTCCATAGCTTTAAGTACCGGGCGGGAGAACCATTGGAACCAGGCGCGCCGGGAGCGGGATCTAGAGCGCGTGGGAACTGGGTGCTGTTCTTGAAGGGAGCCAGTGTGGGGGTTGAGAAGCAGCATTCTCTTTCGGCTGTGGTACGCCCACACGTTCACCAGTCGGTCAAGCAATCGGCAGTAGCAGTGCCGCTCCTGTTTGGCGACAGCAGGGAGAGTTGGCAAAGGGATCACACATTGGTGTTTCCAGACTCACACCAGGTTGTGCTTTGCTTCTCTGTCTCTGATAGAGGTTCTGACACATTCAAACCCAAGGTTCTCGTCCAGTAAAGAACCTATCAGCCTCAGAATTTTATTACTATCAAACCAATCCTCACCTCTGCATGGCTCTGAGCGAGTGGGCATGTGCCATGGGCCGCGTGTCTCTGATAGAATTTCACATCAAGGGCGTCAACGAACATGCTGGTTGCGGTGCAAAGGGAAGAGGTCATATGGGAAGGAAGGCAGAGCAGAGGAGAGGAGAGGGCAGAGAGGGGGAGAGCACAGAAGGGGGGGCGGGAGCAAGGACATACGGGGAGGTGTGGGTTTCAGGAAAGAGGCAAACAAAAAGTTGTCGTTAGTTATGCAAAGGCATCAGGAACCCCACAAAGCTTTGAGAGGGCAAGGCCCACGTGCACATGGAAATCCCTCTCATTCATTCCCTCACGCCTTGTACGCACATGCCCCCTCACTGCTTCTCTCACCGCGCAAACAGCATGAACTCCACAAAGTTGTGTGCCAGCATGGCCCTTTCAGTGAAAGGCTTTCATTCCCATTTCCCTTGCCCATGCATCCATCCAACATTCCATCTCTCACCGAGGTGACTTTTGAGTCGACTCAAAAGTCGCCTTGCACGCACATGCCCCCTCACTGCTTCTCTCACCGCGCAAACAGCATGAACTCCACAAAATTGTGTGCCGGCATGGCCCTTTCAGTGAAAGGCTTTCATTCCCATTTCCCTTGCCCATGCATCCATCCAAGATTCCATCTCTCACCGCGCAAACAGCATGAACTCCACAAAGTTGTGTGCCGGCATGGCCCACGCGTGCATGGCAGACCAGGTACCCCCTCCGGTGGGCATGGGTGGCAGGGTGGTCCAATTTGAAGGCAGGCTGTACACCAGGCGCATGGCCTCCAGGAATGCAGCTCTGGAAGGGGTAAAGAAGGGAGATGGATCAGCATGAGAGCATGGCGGACTGGTGCCTCCTCCAGTGGCCATGGGCGGCAGGGTGGTCCAGGGTGGCCATGCTCTCCATGGGCGGCAGGGTGGTCCAGTTGGAGGGCAGGCTGTACACCAGCCGCATGGCATCAAGAAAGGCAGCTCTGCAGGGGAGGTGATGGGGAAGAGATTTCAGCATTAGAGTATCGGGGACCAGCGGGTTGAATTTCTCCTTCCCGTTGGTGGCAGGGTGGTCCAATAGGACGGAAGATAGCACACCAGCCTCATCGCCTCCAGAAAGAGGGTTCTGGATGGGAGTGGTAGTGTTGACCATACAAGGGGCATGTGATCACCTCCGGCTGACGAAATATGCATGATGGGTAGTGCGATGTGGGGTGGTGTGGGGTGATGTGGGGTGGTGTGGGTGTCTGACGTGCGGTTTGTGGTGCATCCGCCCCTCCTCACCTGCAGTTACCACGGTTCATCATGTCACATGTAGTCCAAAAGTCATCCCCACTTCGCTCCTCCAACCCCCCAACACGCGCTTTCCCCACTCCTACCCCCGTCTCCCCTCCCCCATCACCCTTACCCCCATGCTCTCGCGCACCTCCCCCTCCGCCTCCCCCCCCGCCTCCGCCTCCGCCTCCGCCTCCCCCTCCCCCTCCCCCTCCCCCTCCCCCCACCTTCTCCCCATCCTCCCCCAGCGCCGCACTCCTCGGATCCCTATGAATCTCCACCTGGTCTACAATACTCACCCAGTACACTACCGCATCCGCTACAGTCCCGCCCTCTATAGTCCCAACCAGCGCCTTTTCCGCAGCGCCGCTCAACCCCACATTCTCCGCCCGGACCCGCCACGGCTGGAAGCCTATCCAGGGGTTCCTGTGGACTCGGTCTATGCGGTAGTTGATTGCGAGCATGGCTGCAAAGTCGCACAGCACGTCGCGGTAGTAGGGGGAGGCGAGCATGGGCAGGCGCGCCCACGCGTTCACGTCGTCATACAGGTTGGGGCGGCGGGAGGAGCGCGACTGAAGTGGAAAAGGGGGTTGGGGTGGGGGAGAGGGGGGAGCAGGGGAACGGGAATGTGGGGAGGAGAGCATGAGGAGGCGGCCCATACGTTGACATCAATTCAGTTGCATACGTGCACTCACGCAGCAAGGCAACTCCACAACACAATACAACGTGTCCCTGCCAAGAATCACTCCAAGGAGGTGCGTAGGAAAGGACTCAAAAGCTTCTGGAATCCCACTTGCACCCAGCTGCACTCACCAGGCTAACCCCACGGTACAGGGTGTCCTTGTCGTGAATGAACAGCCAGGATCCATCAGACCAATTCTTGAGGTGCCTCAAACAGACTGCATAAAATCCAAGGCAGGTTGCTTGCACCCAGTGCACACTCACCAGACTAACCCCACGGTACAGGGTATCCTTGTCATGAATGAACGGCCAGGATCCGTTCCCAGTGTACGGCTCGTAGATGCAGATGGGCTGGCCTGATCGCTCGAGGTCCCCGTCGTCCCTCTCATGCAGCCCACTCCTCTCCGCCCGCTTCACCCCCACCTTCACCTCCTCCCATGACAGGGATTCATGTTCCCTGCGGTCCCACAACTGGCGTGGGGAGAGGAGGGAAAGGGAGGTAGAGAGGAGTAACTTAGATGGTAATCGTTTCACGCCCACCTTCACCTCCTCTCCTCCCACCCAGGACAACGCCTTGTAACGAAAACGGCTTACACTATCCGGCTCCACTGGCCCCGCACGCGTTTTCAGCCCAAGCTCAGCTGCTGCTGCTGCTGCTGCTAGAAGATCTGTCCCGAAACCCTCTCAAAACGAACCGTTTTCCACATGTCATGCAACCAAGATGGTACCTGAAGCCACAGAGACTTACAATATCGGCCTCCAGTTGCTCCTCAGGTGCTTTCAGCTCAGGCACTCCTGCTGCTGCTGCTGCTGCTGCTGCTGTTCCTCCTCCTGTCCTTTCTCCTGCGCTGCCTTTCTCCTCCCCCACAGTCCCAATGGCAGCAGCTGCAGCGGCAGCACCTGAAACCGCTGCACTTGACTTGCTACCACTCAGAACCGCACCAGACCCGCCCACCCTATCAACCACGCCAACAGCACCACCGTTTCTGTCAGCCTCTGTTACCGACCCCCCTTGCCCCGCTACTCCCCCGCCCACTCCTGCTGCTCCCCCTGCTGCTGCTGCTGTTGCGCCTGCTCCAACTCCTGCTCCTCCTGTTTCACCCGCTAGCCCGCCTCCCACCGCCTCCTCAGCACCGTCCATTTCGGCCATCAGCATGCTATCCCTCGTTTTATCTCCCATCAGCAGCGCCGCTTCCCTTCTCTTCAACTCCTCCCACTCCTCCTCCATCTGCAGCACCACACTCCTCCTCCTCTCACTCCCTCCCTCACTCCCTCCCTCACTCCTCTCTGTCGCACTATTCCGACCCTCGCTCGTATCCACATCTGCTCTCTCTCCTCTTCCGGTCCCCACCACCCTCCCCTCGCCTTCCTTTTCCTTGCCTCCCTCCTTCAACCCCACCCTTCGACCCTTATAGTCACCTTTCCTTAGTATCACCTTCCTCCCTCCAATAACCCCACTCTCCCCTCCCGTCACAACCTCAGCCTCCCCTTCCTCCACACCCCCACCTACATCCACACTCTCCCCTTCCTCCTCCCCTTCCTCCTCTCCACCCTTCGTTTTCCCCCCACCTCCCGTCCCGTATCCTCCCTCTCCCTTCCGTACTCCTCCCTCTTCCCTCCCTTCTCTTACATCCCAGCTCCCTCCCTCTCCTCCGTCTCCTCCCTTCCCCCCTCCCTCTCCCCACCCCCACCCACCGTCCTCCCCCCACATCCACGCCTGCTTCTTATCCCACCACAGCCAATCCGCCGGCCGAGGGCTTCTAATCCCCACGCCCCCTTCCATTACCCGCTCTAGGAGCCTCGCTACCTCCTTAACCACGCTGCGCGCGTCCAGAGCCAATGAGAGCTCGCGGCCTGACGCTGACATGGCAAGTGCGTCAGACTGCGACAGCGACGCGGCTTTAAGGAGCACCTGCTTCATGGAAGGTTCCTTCCCAGAGTCGTAGAAAAGAGCATGCACGCCATTGGTCAACTGCGAGGGAAGGGAGGGTGGGGGGAGTGGGAGGAGTGGGAGGATTGGGGGACCGGAATGGGAGGGAAGTGGAGGAAGGGAAGATGGAGGAGGTAGTTTTGGTGCTGTCGAAGGTAAACAGGTGGGCTGCGGAGGAAGGGAAGATGGAGGAGGTAGTTTTGGTGCTGTCGAAGGTAAACAGGTGGGCTGCGGAGGAAGGGAAGATGGAGGAGGTAGTTTTGGAACAAAAGCTGCAACGACTAATAGCAAGCGGCTTCACACCATTGTTTTACTATAAAAAGCATAGGACACCCCTCAAGCCGCAGCACTCACCACCCAGCACCACCACCCACCACCCACCACTAGCACCCACCCACCCACCCCTTCACCTCTGCTCGGATCTTGATCAGTTTTGGCACCACAATCACCTTCCCCAGCGCCAGCGCTTTCACGAGCAGCGGATTCACCTCCCTCTCCTCCTCCACCGAGCTCCACACCACCACATCACTCTCAACGCCCCTCGAGAGGCACTACCCACCACCCACCAACACTCACTCACCTCTGCTCGGATCTTGATCAGCTTTGGCGCAACCACCACCTTCCCCAGAGCCAGTGCTTTCACCAGAAGCGGATTCACCTCCCTCTCCTCCTCCACGGAACTCCACACCACCACATCACTCGCCATCAGCACGCCCATCCCCTCGAGAAGCAGTACCCACCCTCTACCAACTTCACTACCCCCCACCCACAGCCCACCTCAACCACCCACTCACCTCTGCTCGAATCTTGATCAGCTTCGGAACCACAATCACCTTCCCCAAAGCCAGCGCTTTCACGAGCAGCGGGTTCACCTCCCTCTCCTCCTCCACCGAGCTCCACACCACCACATCACTCGCCATCAGCACGCCCATCCCCTCCTCCCCCTCCGCCTCCCCCACGCCCCACGTCAGATTCGCTATAAGCAGATGCTTCGCTACCACCTTAAGCACCGCCAGCTGCGACTGTGACCCTGAGGTGTTCCAGCTTCCCATAAACACCACGTGCGCTCGCTCCACAGCAGAAACCCCCTCTCGCTCCTTTTGGTTCCCTTCCCCTCCTCTCCCTCTCCCACCTCCTCTCTGCTCCCTCCTTCCTTCCCCTCCTCCCCCTCCTCCTCCGCCCTGCCCTCCTCCCTTTCCCACAGCATCCCCTACCATCCAACCCCATATAGACCCCCACCCCAAACCAGGCGGCTGCACCAATGACTGAACGGCATGCATAGCCATTGCCCTTTCCCGCCACTTTCCCTGGTACACCCTCTGGTTTCCCGCCACTGCTACAGTGAACGTGTCAGGCGGGATCTGACGCGCCGCCCGCTCCGACTCTGGCGAGTGCGACGCGGCGAATCGGGTCGCGGCGTACGTCCACGTGGGCGAGCCGGGAATTACCACGAAGTTTCCAGTGTTCAGGGACTGGTATCGTTCTTTAAGTGCCATGCAGGGGAACACGAGGGCGTCAGGTCGAGCGAATAGCTCTACCCACTGCTGCCTCAGCCCTTGCAGATGCTGACTGGACTCGTACACTGCCAGCCTGTCCGCCACGTCAGCCTCGTGCACGACCCACACCAGCGGGACTTCGGTGAAGGGTTCTTGGGCCAGCTTGGCTATAAACGGAGTGGCTTCTAACGAGTTCGCCAAAACTCCCTGGTAGCTGCGCAAGGGAAGGAAGTCCCACGGGCGGCAGCAAGGCGGGATTGCAAGGCAGAAGAGTGGTGCGGGAGAGGTGTGGGAGAGAGGTGCGGGAGAGAGGTGCGGGAGAGAGGGGCGGGAGAGAGGGGCAGGAGAGAGGGGCGGAGCAGGAAACTCATAAGGCACAGAGAATCACACTGAAGGGAGGAGCAGTCATGAGCAGAGCGGGAGGACTTACTCCAGCCAGTCGACGTGATTCAGGCTCGTGTTGTGTTTTGAGAGACGTCTCAAAACACTTCTTTTATCACGAGGAACAGACTCGAACGGGATGTGGGGGCGTAGTCATGAGCAGAGTGGGAGGGCTTACTCCAGCCAGTCGATGTGATTCAGGCTCGTGTTGTGGCGCCCCGTTATAGTCACACGCACGGCCAGGCCCCTCCACGCGTCCGCCATGGGCCCTCCTTCCTGCGCTATCACCTGCAAGGGAGGGGACACGGGAGATTCGAGGCAGGATGAAGGAGCGGGAAGCGATGGGTGGATAGTGGGAACGAGGAATTGGAAAACGGTTTACTAAACGCGACAAGAAAACGCAGAGAGCTTGAGAAAGATTGAGTGGGGAGCGATGAAGGGGAGCGGGGAGCGGGGAGGGGGGAGGGGGGAGGGGGGAGGGTGGAGGGGGGAGGGGGAGGGGGGAGGGAAGGTGACCCTTTCCTATGCTTCAAAGCAAACCCCCGTGCCCCATCCAACTAAATTGCGTCTTCTAGAATTGACGAGAACTGACATCCTATCCGAGAGTGAACAAGACGGCGACCACGTTCTCCGAACTCAACCCCGTGCTCCATCTGAATCGCGTCTTTTAACATCGACGAAACCGCATTTGGACCCACCTTAGTTGTGTATCCCGGAGTTTCGCATACCCGAGCGTAAGCAAGTCGCAATCACACATCCCGCGCTCAGCCTCACCAGGTTCCCATTCAACCTGAATCGCCTTCCATTAGGCTAGATTTAACAGCACCAAAACCCACCTCAATGGCGTATCCCAGTGACTTGAGGCCCGATCCAAGCGTGAAAAAGTACGCGTTTTCAGCATCCCTTTCAAGGCGATTCGTTACAAGCGCCAGCAACGGCGGTCTCAGATTGGCCGAGACCTCCGTGAGCCATCGCAGCGCGCCTTGCATCTGCGCTGCCCGCCGCTCCATCAACCCTTCCTTCAGCTTCAGTAACTTCTTAACGAGCGTCGAGTCTCTCTTCGCTACAGTCACATCTTTTACGATCACCTCTCGGCTCTGGAGCTGCCTTTGCCCGAAATCAACTTGTAACTGTCCGTCTAATACCGCGGTTTCTAACTTTTGACTCGTTGCTGAGCTGTGAACGTATAATCCTATACTGAAGCATATGACTGCAGCGAGAACGAAGGGAAGGTACACCCATCGCACAGTGACACCCGCGGTACTCTTCTTAGTGGGCGTAGAATACGGATCCGAGGTGTTTAAGCTGCTGTTACGGCGAACGCGGTTTCTAGATCGTTGCCGCTCGGGGACACCGCTACACTTGACGGGCTCTGCGGATTCTGTGTCGAACGAACTCGGCGCGCAGTGCCGGTTCGCGGATGCGTGCCACGTGGCAGAGGCGGACGTTGAGGAATGCGACGCACGTTTCATTGCTGACGTGGGAGATTGGGGAGCCCCTCTGGGCTCGTCTTCGCTCATGGTGGTGTTGCCAGCTCAGCAGAGAATAATCTGACAATGAGAGATGGAAATACGCCGTTGAAAGCGAAGAACGTACCTAGGTAGTAAAGACATCCTTGATTGGAAACACGGGCGTGGGTGACGGAGTGTTCTAGGTCGCGTCGGAACGCGTCTTAAAATGAGTGTCGTCTATATTGAAGCCTTGAGTATATCACCAGAGTATATCACCAGGCCCATTCGGAACCCATATTCCTTGATTGAAGCGCGAAACAAACCTGCTCGAGCGAAGAGCAAAGCCCTTCTGATACTTCTGGCGAATAGTGGGAGGAGGGTGGACACTAGGGAGCGGATGGTGAGTGAACTAATTCACTTAAAGACGCATGAAGTCGTTGGCACATCACGGCTGCTCACACTGCCGGCCCGGAAACGGAAAATGGGTGGTTCTAAGTGGGTGCCGCGACTTGAACATAGGAACTCGGAAACAGAGGGAGAACCGTGAAGGTCAGGGTCTGAACGATGAAACCTCGAGGGGAGCGATGCGGCAACTTTTTAGGGGGAAAACCGTGGAGGAGTTTGCCAAAACTCGAGGCCGCCTTGGTTTTCCCAATTGTTGCCTAGAGTCCCAAACCAGAATCAGGGAATCACATAACCAGAGATCCACCCACCCAACCCAGAGCTTGGAGAAGGCTGCTTGGAGAACAGGTGTGCGTCTCGTAGTGGAGGCGGCAGTACAGAGGTGTAAATGAGGGGAGGCGAGCAAAGAATATCGACGGCTCACCGTTGATCACACGGAAAGTCGCTAGAAAATCGGTCGGTCACTGCGAGAGTCGAGTCAGAGTCTCGGTGACAGTTGCCGAAGGTCGCTAGCGCTGCGTCCCAAACCTGTGCTCAACCAGAGCCGAACCTGAAGGGGGCTTGCCCAAAGTCCCAAACGACGCTTGCTGCGATTCGGCAAGCCAACGTCACCACATAGCCAAGCCCAATCGTCAAGCGGATGTGGTTCATGCGTCAACAAGGCACAAGGCGGGAAAGTCTGAACCAAATTTTCGTTGGCTAGGCTGTCAGCGAGGATTTGCTTTTAAAGAGGGTTCGCTTCCGGGAATTAGGGCAAAACTGTACTAGAATCAAAACGCCTCAATAAAACCTAAGGTAGTATCGAATGAAACATAAAACTTCAACCAAACATGGCAAAAATCTAGAGGCTAAGTGGATCCAGCCGCCTAAGCAGATATTCCACCTGCACTTTCTTTGTCAATGGCATTATCCATTGCCCATAGAGTCTAGCAACCACCTCGGGTTGAATCTTGAAGCCTCCTTGTGGCTGTTGAGTTGTAGCTACTCCATCATTCACCCCCTTAGCCGGTTCAATTGGACACTCGAAAATATCCTGTCCAAAAGTTGCAGCCTTTCTCTCAACCCGGCGCTGAACCGCAGCTTCGACATCATTGAATGTGAGCAGCTGCATCAGCCCCTCTGCGTCTTGCCTCTCAATCAGGGGTCTATATGTATCAGGACTCTCCTGAAACTTCGCCTCGGCAACAAAGGCTCCGAAGTGAATTCGTTTTGAGAGAGCCTGATGGTTAGAGATGGCAAAGTGGAGTGAGCGAGAACATATAAGGGAGGAAGGTGAAAGAAGATGAAGAAAGTTCACCATGAGGCATGATCTGCACATTCAGCAAGAAAATAAGAAGAACCCAACAAGATAGATACTAGCTGACCTGCAGGCAGAGTACGTCCATGGTGACAGCTGAGCCGTAATTGAAGTCATCGCCATCTCGTGTGATTTCTGGCATCAGATCGTCGAAGTACATCTTCCATATAATGTCATTGATGTTTATGGTGCTCGCCGCATCATGTAACACCTGCATTTGGGCCAACGATGCATTATTATCCAAAAGTATACAGCAAGGCAATGACTGTATCAATATGGAAGAAACATGACATAACATGTCACACAATTGGCTGTCAAAGGAGATGCCATGCATCCGACGTACTCTGGGGTAGTTCAATGGAGGCAGAATAAGCGGCGGAATGGCATCAGGGAAGAACGGCCGTTCCGTGGGGCTTGTGTAGCGCCGAACCTGGTGAAACGTGGCAAACAAACACGCAGCAGATAACAGACATGGAGGTGGTGTCGGATGGAGGCCAATCTTCCGTCAAACCCAAGGTAACGAACCTGACGCGACGTGGACCTACTGATGGTCGGATGGAGGGTGTCATTGTCGACAAACTTACGAATGCGCATCTATAACAGAAGCTCTCTTAGCGGAACGTAATAAAGCTGCGATACGGGCACTTGTTAGGGGAAACGCCGGGATATTGAGCAAGGGTGGAGAATGTGCAAGCAGTGGGAATCCCTTCTCTAAGCAGGAGTTACCTTTCCGTGGAGCACTTCCGTTTCTCGCATGACGAAATCCAGCAGCGATCCTTCGAACCCCGGTACAGGCATGGCTGACGCGTCGTACGCCGGTCTATTGCGACAGAACTGCGACCGCTCGATCAGCGAGAATATGATGCTGTCCTCTTGGCGAATTAGCGAGCTGCGGATGTTCGCCAATGTTACCGTGTGCTGGTCGCTGATATCCATGTCGCCAACTTCCCCGACTGGGTGGAGGGTTGCGGACGGTTGCGCGGTTGCTGGTGCAATCGCGGAATCAGAGACAGCCGCGCCGAGGATTGCGGGGACCGGGACGACGGGAGTCGGGTTGGAGGAAGTTCCCTGGTCACTACGTAGAGAATTAACTACGAGTGGTGGAATGCTGGATACGCGGCGCGAAAGCCGCTGAGACGGGAGTTTCTTACGATTGAATAAGGTTGGGATGGTGCTGCTGCTAGGAGTCAGTGCGAAGCGTGACTCAATCGCGAGAAGCATCTCGCCAAAGGGTTTATGGATAATCCCACCAGCGAATCAGCAGCACCTGGCGACGGAAACAATTACGCAATTAAGCGCTCATTCAGCAAAGGCTGAAGCTCCGACGCAACCGTCAGAGACTGATGATTTACAAAATACAACAGTGGAGAGCTCGTTGTTTCCAATACTCTGCTTTCCGCTTTTCATGATGGGAGAAGATCATACAGGGGCCGAACAGTGCTAGGGAGAAGAGCCAAGAGGCCCGGAACTAACCAAACCACTGCTTTAAAAGGTATTTGCAGGGAGATATCATTTATTCGAACGTATGTCTGTTAACAGTTTGCATTTAATCTCGCGCGTCATTTTACATGGAGATGTTTACTGATTCATCACCTTCCACCCAATAGCGTCGTTTAGCAAGCCAGAAACTCTTAGGGCAGCCAAAAAAACTAAAACCCCAAGGGGAAGCTGGATGCATTTTCGGGATGGATCAACCCTAAAAACGGGAACCTCAGTTGTGTTCAGGGCTGATGCCTCCCTAGTCGCATCCATTTCCGAATGGGTAATATGTTTTTTTTTCTGCGCGTTTCCGATCAGGGAGTGTTATTTATCACCCATAATGAATTTGTTTTTGGACTCACAAATTAACACAGCAATATTTACTTCCAGAAGAACGCGATGTGCGCGTAGTAGTAGACGGCGGTCGTAACCATTTTTTCAATCAGTTGGACACGAAGTTTGGCGCTGATAGCTTTTATCTTTTATTTACGGCTCGGCTTCTTCGCCTAGCCTCTTGGGCAGCTCGGGGTCGAAAATCCTACGGTCGAGATTTTCTGGCCCTACTTTGGTCATCCCTCTGGCACTCTTCGGCCCCAGTTTGATCATTTCCCTTTCATGATTATGCTCCGCTTTCTACTTATGGACTGTTGGTGGGGCTGCAGAACTGGATGGGACAACGCGGAAATCTCGAGGGAAGCCAGATGGATGGAAACAGCGTAACTTCCTTCTCGCCAGCACTCGCGCCAACCACGTGGATGACGAAATGTTACTTGAAACGAGTTTCTACTGTTAAAACAAAACTGACTTCATTACCACAGTACAAACCGGCAAAGAAGAAACTTTTCTATCCTATAATGGATCCAAAAATCATGACACCCTTTTGTGTCATATGCTCTCCATGTACATCCGTTGACCCTTCTCGCTTGCAACCAACATTTGCATCGCCACCTGCCAGACCCTTAGCTGCCATTTGTAGGTCTTCCAGAGTGATGGCATAAAAGCGATTGCCTGATTTGCCTGGTGATCCATCTAGAGATCTAGATGCTACCAGGCGATGCTCTCCGATGCCTGCATTCACTTCCACAGGATGAAGAAATCCCCCTTTTGGCCGAATAACTGGCAATGCCTTCCTTGATTTTACCATGGACTCCTCGCTACCTGATGAAGCTCCCACATCTGTGTCAGACCTCCACCTCCTTCTCGTATCCATCGTCTTCCCAATCTTCTGAGAAGATGATGCCATTTCCACATCCTCCACAGCAGCTCCCAGGCTCTTCACCCTCCTCTTCCTGCTTCCCTTCACCACGCAGTCAGCTTCAGAATTGTCTTGAAGCAGCTGCTTCGCCCAGGCACTCCTAGGGGCCATGGACCTTCCTCCCCGGAGGGGAGGCTCTAGCTTCAGTGCCGACTGGACAGTACTTGCAGGCCTGCTGCTCTTTCGAGGTGAGGACATGGCTTGCTCCTTGCCAACCTGAGGCTGATGTTGTTTCAAAGGCAAAGGTTCTGGTGCAGCAAGATCCGCGCATGCTGGTTCTGTTACATGCGCCCTTGGTCCTGCTGCGGATGCTGACAGCACTCCAGATCCCTTCAGCTCCACATGACATTCTGCATTGCCTTCTGCCTGTCCTGCTTCTGAATTCTTCCAGGAAGATGCTGCGTTCGCCTGACAAGGTGTCAAGTCATGACATTGTGAGAGGTGGACTTCTTGGCTGCATGGAACATTCAGGTCCAGAACCACAACCGGCTCTGACATGTCAGTGCTAAGGTTCATGGGAGGCTGGTTGGCATATGTTGCCGAAGAGTTCTCTTGTACCATCCCCATGCCGTCATGATGTGACACGGAGAAAAACCCACGCCTTGCAATGTCGTCGTTCCAGAAGGGTTGCACAGCCGCGTGATGTAAAAATGCGTCATGATGTGACATTTTATCCGAGTCGGAATGTACCATGTAAGCGTGCCGACGCATTGTGTCTTCTTGCAGTGCCGTGTGCAATCCATGACGATACAACACAGCTTCCCTGAGGGCCGTTTCGGATAACGGAGACGAGCACATGATTTCGTTGCTGACGCCAGCAGTAGATCCGATCATGCTCGTATTTTTGGAGTTAGGGCTGAAGTTGATGGGACTCGCGGCGTTGCTTTGATCGCTCATAGTACTTCCAGTTCCGCAGCGGCCCGCACGTTCGTCGAGTGAGGCGATAAACTCCACGTCTTCTGCATCGCGAAATTGGGAAGTGCGGAAAGTAACCCTGAATACACTCTTGCACAACTTACCCGATAGTACACCCCCGGCACTTTTGAGTCAAGGTTTTAGAACTGCGTGGCGACAGTCACTGGCGTAGTAACTTCCGAGTCACTTTCCCGCGCCTTTCTGCACAAACTCAGTCAACCGTTTAGCAACGCCACCCGCATCTGCGCACATGCTAAACAGTCACGGGCTGCTCCACCCAAATGTTCACCTGCCCATACCGTGTCAACCAACTCGAAAGCGACGAGCACGTAACCCCAACTGCCAATCCGTACGGGCTTCCCCACGTGGCATACTGTTTCAACTCCCACGTCCACGTAAGCGTACATGCAGCAAAACGTACAGCAACCACAACCGTTGGATGGACACCCTGGTCACGCAATCACTACGGTACACGTGTCGCCTGTACATAAACTCGCATAGCACGTTACGCATTCGCGCACACAAACTCGCACATCCTTGCAAGCTCACCGCGCTCCGATCTGCACCGTACATCTGGTGGTCAAGCATCCTTCCCACACCGTACATTTGGATGCATCCCATAGGGCAGCAAACCGCATATCACGCCAACGGTAGCCACTACCCCTCATCCACGCGGCCTCACTCCACTTGCGCATCGTGCGTCCGCACCAGACGCGCCAATGCATAAACACCGTACACCTGAACCAATGCCACCGTTTCGTGCACTTCGGGAAAAGTCTCGCCTACCATTAGGGTTGCGCTCGCAACTAGATGACGACGACACCTGCGTCGTCCATCTGTATACATCGTAAACACCACCGACCTTCCACGTCACGCACAATTAATCCATCTTACCCGTACACTTGCAACCCGATCATGCAATCGCACAAACGGTAACCGGTTGCCCTACCCATCGTGGCTCACGTTTGCGACGTATGCGCGAACCACTCACAACCGTGCATTTGTCGCACCCGTATAGCATATCACAGCGCACATCCCACCGTCGGCCTCATCTTCACGCTCGTCCACGATTGTGACACGGGTGTACAAGCGCGTGCCACCCTCCCATACCATTGGCTCCACGTCATCCCTTAGCCTTGTTGCGGTCCAACCAGATGTCCACTTACGCGCACCGCTGCGTCCTTTACGTCCAACGTACAGGTGACACATGGCACACACCGTAAAATTCGCCGCAGAATGCGGCGCATCCCTCTCCGTCCCGCACATCTGGGCGACGGCGGGTTCGCTGTGGCATGCACCATATAGTTTCTGTTATGTGCTGTCATATGCGAGCAATACCCCAATTGAAGCTTTTCCCATTAACAACAAACGGACACACAAACATACAACGCCTCCACGCCTATGTCTAACCCCCCCACATCTTCAACACTGACACATGCTTAACCCAGGTGCGCGTTCCACAGCTACACATAACCCTGTCACACAGCCGCAAATCATCGTACACACGCAGCCAATCTACTGTCCCCGCAACGGTAAAACCCACGCTTCCCCCATCCCCTCCACGCCAGCCGTCCTACTCATCCCCCACGGATGCCGAAAGGTCGTCGTCCCCCACTGGCTCCTCCGGCTGGGCTGCGCCGGCGGGCCTCATGTGCTCCAGGCCGCACGCAGAGATGCGCAGACCATGGCGCCCCCAGATCCACGCCTCCCGCTCCGCGTCATACTCCGGGTTGCGGATCCTGATCGCCCTCTCCACGGCCTCCTTAACCAGGACCTTGAGGCCGTCCACAACGTGGGCGTTTCCGCCGGCCGAGTTGGAAAGCCGGCCTTTCCTCTGCTCCCAGTAGAGGACGCAGTCGGAGACCTGCGCCATCACGCATCGTGTCACTCAAATGGTCCGACGTAAACAACACAGATGCATGGCACACATAGAGCGCACAGACTCACCACATGCTCCAACCAGGCCAGGTGGTACACCTTCAGCGTCATCACCAGGCCGGCCTTCTTGGGCCTGAATGCAGCCTTCGCACATGTCGCGAACGCCCGAGAGGCGAACGGCATGCCATCCCGGTCTGTCGCCCATGTCGTGAGCACCAGTGTTTCTGCATTCCCACGTGCATGCAGGTCAGTGTCAACGGCCGTCACGCACGAGGGTGACAGCATAACGATGCGGTGGCAAGCCTGGTTGCTGGGGTAGACCGCACTCACCAGGGGGGTCAGCGCCGAACCCAATGCGCTCCCGGATCTTCTCAATACTGCGTTCCTTCTCCGGTGCCCATGGGCTGGATGCGTCCCGATCGTCGCGGAACAAGCCGAGCTTGGGAAGTGCAATGTCGCGCACGCGGGCGGCAGCCCGCGTCTTCCACTCAGAGAGTGTCTTGTTGAGATCACCGCGACGCGACTTGTCAGCCGCCAACGCCAAACAGGCGAAGCTATGCGGCAGGCGGTCCAGCACCGCACACACCCCGTGTGTCTTGTCGTCGCTGCTCGGGTAGAAGGTCATCATCGACGTCGGCCTGTTGAGAAACATGTGCACCCTGGCCAGCTCGCACACCCGCTGCGCACATAATGTATACACAACAACATGAGCGGCGCACACCGGTATGCATGACGGTTGAATAATGGAACCGGACGGGAACGGGCCCGCTCACCTTCCACGCCTTGTCCGCAGGCAAATGCTCCAAGGCGCGCTGCAGAATAGGAGACCTGGCCGTGCGCATATGACGGCCACCAGATCCATGTGTGTCGTCATCGTCGTCCTCGCCGTCATCGTCTGACCCGCCACTCCACGTCTCGCCACGCTTACGCTTCGGGTTCATACAACCCTGCCCCGGGTCTCTCTGCCTGGTCGCCTTACGCTTATGAGAGCCACTGGACGGCCGAGACATCGCATTCAAGAACAGCGCCTCCAACCGCGCGTTCTCCTTGGCGCTCTTGTCCTGAGCCTGAATGAGTTGCTCGAGGATACGGCTCGGTATGCGCACGTCATCGCTGTTGGCGTCCACTGTGTCCCAGCGTGTGGGTCCCACCAGTCCGTCCACGTCGTGATTAGCGCGAGTGTCAGCGTTGGCCGCGGATGGTCCCGCACGCCCATCGTCGTCCGTCTTCCCCCCCTTAGCGGGCTCGGCTGATTCTTCGCCTGATCCTGATGCCGACGTGTCTCCGCCTTCCTCGTCCTCATCCTCGCTGCGCTCGGACGAATCTGCACTCTCCGCCCCAGTGCCGTCATCTGTGGGTGACAGAATGACAACAGGCGCACAGAACCGCAAGTTAGCATACGCGCGCAACAACCGCCGCGAACGTCGTGACTGATCCACTCATGATCGTAATGCATACCTTCCTCTGGCTGCACCACCTCCTTCCCCTTCTTGCGGAAGCTCAGGCTCTTGGGTAAGGGCGCCCCACGGTTCCCGTTGGACAGTCGACCTCGCGGCATCGTCAACTGGTATGACGCTCGCAGGTACGCAGGCGGGAGCGAGACACGACGGGAGCGTCCCCCAGCTCGGGTATCCTCAGAAGCAATTGAGGTATCCATTGAAGCAACTGAAGTATCCAGTGAGATGCGCACATAATGACGCGATAACCACTTTTCTACGTAGCGGTGAGATGCTCAGCTTCCATGACACTCCGCTGCACCGAATACATGAGGAGGTTGGTACCCAATACTGCCTCGTACACATCTGGATGACCGCAATCCAAAACCCCCCAATTACAGAACACCACGTCACTCGCACATTGACGGGTGTCCACCCCCGAACCATACACTGCGCACATCATGTGGTCACAACATTGTCCACATACCTTCATTGTGTGGACACTCGTCACGGAACTGGTTCCGGTATTCGTTGAGGCCCTTACTCACTTAAACATGTAGTACACCAAGTTCACGATTGCATTACCAGCTAACGGTGTTTGTCGTTCATACTTTGCACGCACAAGACTCTTCATTCCAAATGCAACATTATCCGAAAGCTACACAAGGGTGAGCAACTACGTGCACGGACATGTTTCAACCACACATTGACTCCACACCAATTATGCAGCCATCTCTGATGTCTTCTCCTCAGCTCCAGTGTCTTCCCTCCGCTCTTCCTGGTCATTGTCCCTTGCACCTCCGCCTTGCTCGTTTGTCACTGGGGCCGTCCCCCCACTCTCAGCATTGTCGGTTGCCGCTGGGTCGTTGGTAGCTGTGTGGTCGTGGTCCACAACCCTGCGCCTCTTTGATGCACCTGTTGCACCCCCACGCTTCCTCACTCGTTTCAACCGCTGGCCCACGCTCTCCAGCGCCTCACGCCAACTCCTCCACCTCCACCACTTCCTCGCTTCCACCAGGGTCTGTAAATCTTCTTTGGTGCACCCCCGCAGCGTTGCCTTCTCTGCGGCCGACAGGCTGACGGTGTTGGGTATCCTCTCGCTAGGCCTCAGCACGAACGCACCGGCGGCGTATGCAAATGCCGCCTCCTCCTCAGTGGTGTACCCTCCCAGTCTCTGCTGCTTGCGCTTCCCACGTTCTTTAAACAAAATCTTGACGCAGTACTTGCCGGTGTTCGGATCCAGCTTCACACCCGTGTACCTGGTTGCACTTGTATCTTCGCCACCGTCCTCGTCATCTGAGTCTGACACGAGATCCTCCTCTTCGTCGGCCTTCGCCGTCTCCTGCCCAAGCCTGTCTCCCCACACGTCAGGTCCAGCTGGCACACCCGTGCCGGACAGCAGCCGCGGGCGCGTCAACATCCAGGGAGGTATGGCCCCGTTCGAGATCAGCGGGTTCTGCAGCAGGCTCGGTGTCGGCGCACATGCGGCGAACGTGGAGGCCAGCGCCACCTGGGTGAGGTTGCGCACGCCGTCCTCCTCAGGACTGCTGTCATCTCGCCTCTTCCGGGCAGACGGACGCTGGGGTGTGCGTGGCGCATGCTTGTTGCCACCCGCCTCTGTTTTCGTGCCGTTCCCCGCGACCCCTCCATGCAGCAGCAGTTGGGTTGCAGCGGACACCACCTCGTCCCGGCTCAGGCCCACGAAGTTGGCGATCACGGTGAAGCTGGCGTCCAGGTACCTCACATCGTTATGCAGCGATGCTATGCGCCTCGTCATCTCCGTAAACCGAGCGTCCTCATCATGGCGAGTGTTTGGCGCCTGCCTCCCATCTCCCTCCGCAGTGTTTCTCACCTGCACCACTGTCCCCTCTACGGTAACCAGGCCTTCGTCTTGCGGCGGGACTTCAATCCCCAGTTCCTGTAGTTGTTTCAGAAGCTCTCCGCCAGCGTGTGCACACAAGTCTCGGCGCATCTCCCGCCTGTATTGGTGCGGTGTCACACCCTGGAACCAGAGGCCCGAAAACACCGTGGCGAAGTCGGTATGCACCAGGGTCTTGAGGTACTGACAAACAAAAATCCCACAGTCCTCCTTGTTCGGCTGCTGTGGCAGCTTATCCTCCTGTCATAAGGGTAACGAATACCGAAGTTATCAGTATGCACACCTGTGTATGCAACCAGCACAGCTGTGTACAGAACGAACGAGGCGTACTCACCCGTAGAATTACGCAGTCCGCCGCGCTCAGCGTCCTGTCCACAACCTCCATGTTAGCGTTTGGGTTACTCGCCTTTGCGAGTTCGGACAGCAACCTGCATACAAGAGTTCGTCCGGTATTAACAAAATTGAGCATGGACGTATATGCTATGCGCTTCGTTATGCCGAAACCCTTACTCACAGCTTCGTGCCTGCGAAAATCTTGTGGCTATTTCGATTCTTGATCGCGCTGTCCAGCAAGACCAAAGTCAGGCGCTCCTTGCCCTTGGTTCTCTGCGTCTTGGTGAGCACCGATGGGTTTATAGCGATGACGAGGGAATAGTGCTCACTGCGCGCAAGAAGATTGGGGTGAAACGGGATCGGTGTTAAACAGCAGTCGGTTGCACATCACGGAAACCAACCGGGAACACTGGTAAGATGAGTACACTCACGACTCTAGGACCGGGATCGCAAGATAATCGTGTTCCAAAAGCGGCCGCCCACTCCCCAGCGTTAACGGCACTCCATGCGCAGCTGTCGTCTGTGAATAGGCCTTGCAGTCCATGGCGGCCCATGTCTTGCCGTCGCGGAGCGACGGCTTCCTGATGCTAAGCAGCCTGCGCAGAGGTGAACACGAACAAGTTAACACACCGTGCTACAGTGAATTCGCAGAAAATCGTACAAAAGCGCGCGCATGTGCGGGGCGGTCAGCACGGTACTTACACGTTGTGAAAGTCCACCACGCCATCGGTGATCCACTGTTCGTCCTCGATCGACATGAAGTCGTCCTTGTCCACCTCACATCCGACACCGCGGTGATTCATGAGCCTGATGTTGCGGTAAGATGATTTCGCATAGTTCCGGGCGATAGCGGCCACGACATCGTCCGGCACCGGCTCTGTCGCCTTTTCCACGACATGGGTCGCGAACCTAGAAGCCCTTCCGCCGTCCTTTGTCGGCGGACACGGAGGTGATTTTTTGTCGCCCTTGGTCGACGCTCTGGTTCTGGGAACAGACGGGTCAGGATCTTGGTCATCGCCGCTGCTGCTAGTCTCCGGTTCATGGAACCGGTTGCGCTTAGAGACAGACTGTTTAGGAATCGCCATCAAGAACGGACACTGAATACCATGCGGAGGAGGCCGGCCTTAATACGAGGTGAGCACGGAGGGGATGACTGGGAGAACACAGCCACTCACGGATCTCGCCTGGAGGGAAGTACTCTGATTGACGGGTGGGCCAAGATGTCGCCTATAACCTGGTGGGTGTTGGGCATGCATAGGCGAAATGGTATACACCGTTGGATGAGATGCGCATGCGATGTCCACCTGTGACTCGATAACGAGACTGGATGTGATGGTGAGGCAGCATGCATATCCACGTGTTGTAAACCAAGGGGTTCGGAACACGAGGATGCGAGATTTAGGGTGGGTCAGCAATTCTGGTGCATGGAACACCATTTGGTTTTCCGGTACAATCCAAGTGACGCGGAATCCGATAACGGCGTACGCGGACGTCAGCACTTGGGTTGTTGGGCCACCAGCGCGCACTAAGTATGGGTTGTACACGATGTAGTCGTGTACTCTTAAAAGCGGAAGTAAAATTTGTAGGTTGTCGTAAACAATATTGCAATATGCATAACGGGTATATTACTTACATAAGAAATAAGACACAACGTCTTATGGAGCCAACTGTGTACAATCCCACAACGTCAGTTATTGGCTATTTCTATTTCTGGTCGTACTAATGACCGCGCTGATGATTCCGGGGAGTGTTATTTACCGGACCACCGTTACACATTCTGCAATTATAATATGGTTGTGCATTATGGTTGGGTGTATAATGTTTACCGGTGACAATCGAACAGATGGTATGTGCACACTTTTCAAGGTTCTGTGCACATGAGTGTGCACCATGTTGATCCTCTGAGTTGTGTTAGAGCACACCTGTGGCCAGTCCGAGTTTCTATCGCCACGGTCTCTAGGGTTTCAAGGTTGCAGGATGACGGGGAACAGTTGCATGGTGTGCGAGACGGTGTTTAAGGACGACAGCCGGTTACAGTCACATGTCGCTAACGGTGCAATTTGTCGCGCAGAGTTGAAGAGGAAACGGGAGAGTCTTTTGTTGGCGGCATATTTGGAAGCAATTGCCCGTGACGGAGAGAGTAGACCAAACACACCGCCCGCATCGCGGCTTAAGGATAATGACGGCAGTGTTGTATCGGTTGCTCCGACCGCCTCTATTCCCGAAGTTAGCCTGGTTAGCGTCGCGGATACACCAGCTGACGGCGAGAATGCGGAGTCATCGGAACACAGCGAGAGGGCGGAGATTTTCGACACACTGACCGAGTTGTATCTATTCTTCCGTGACGCCGATCTTTCGCACCGGGAAGTTAACCGTCTGTTACACATTTTCCGCAACCCGCGCTTCAACTTACGGGCCCTCCGACGATGGCGCAACTGGGTGGACGTGCGCCGATGGGGAATGGCGCGCGCTCCACCAGACATGGTCCCGTGGAAAACGGAGGAGATAGTGGTGCGGGGCCCCAAAGGAATGCAAATGAAGCTGCTACTGCACTACCGCGACACAGAGCTGGTTCGTAAACGGCGGCCACACCCGCATCCCCCGTCGTCGTCACTGGGAAGGAATCTTGCCGCTCACTCCTGATTATATCCCGATGCGCGCAGATTCTGAAGAAGCTGGTGCGGACGTTCTCATCCAAGAAAGGGTTCGTGTGGAAACCTAAGAAGATTCATCGGAAGAAGAATGGCGAGAGGGTATTCGAGGGGCCGGAGACGGGCGATTGGATGCACGCTGCTCAGGTAAGTGCATCGGTAGGCCAGTCCACATTACATGTGAGTCCCAGAATGCTATAAGACGGAGTCTAACATTTGTGCAAGGGCATGTATGGTTGGCATGGCAGAAGGAGATTAATGACAGTGAGGCACTCATACTAGGCGTGCTGATATACAGTGATAGCACCCAGGCATCACGGAATGGTCGGAGGAACGCGTGGCCGGTGCTGATCTCGCTTATCAACATACCAGCGGAATTACGTGGGGTGGAGCCTGGGCACACGTTGGCGGCGGTGCTGCCATTCCCACCCGAATGGGCATCGCCCACGGAGAAGACGCGGGTTTTCCAGGAGGCATTGAAGATCATCCTCGCGCCCATCATGCGAGAATCTGCATGGTACTGAGGTGCATATGCTACACGAGCAGCAGGCCAGTGGGGACCCCAGCAGATATTGCCCCGTGTTATGACCGCGTATTGTGTGTACGTTCCTAACCTAACTCACGGCCACGTGTGCATCGTCACAATGTGCAGCGGGCCAGTTCGCTTCTTCTACTGCACGGACGCGGACGGGAAGGTGCACAAAGCGGTCCCTTGCCTGTACGGATACCCTGCCGACTTTCCGGAGTCCAGCAGAGCTTCTGCGACTCTTCAGCAGGGGACGCACCGGCCGTGCGCTAACTGCTATGCAGACAAGGGGGAGTTGACCATGATGGTGGGGAAGGCCGATCCGCGTACCCCCGAGATGCAGAGGGACATTGTCCGCCAGATCCTGGCGTGTAAGAAGAAGGGCGACGCTGACGCCGTGCGGAGGCTATGGTCAACACATCCGATCGAGGTGGGCTAAACCCTGAGGGCGTTTGCGTGCCTGTAGTGTACGGTGGAACCTAATGACGCGGTCGTGTCTTTGGTTGGACATTGCAGTGCGTACTTCACAGGTGGAATTTCGCGGACACAGAGTGGGGCAACGTGTATCTGGCATGCCTTGCAGACACACTGCATGTTCTGGACTCCGGTGTGCTGATCCACATGATGGACACCTACATCGAACCGCTTGGGAAGGTTGAGATGCGGACGCTTGAACGGTGAGCAGACTGTAGCCTGCATGTCATATCCTGGTGGGGTCATTTGGGTTGTAGTACACCATGTGTGCAGCGCTGATGGGCACGTCGAATACTTGGTGTGCGCAGACGCAAGAAGGAGTTTAAGGCCATCACGCCTAGCGTGCTCCTCCGAATCCCAGGGGGCTCATCGTTCTTCAGTTCCGGCGCAAACTACGCTGCGTTCGAGCACAGGAGCATGATGCAGATAATGCCGATCTTGGTGGCTGACGAGAGCGCGTTGAAGGGTGATGAACCGGGAGAGCTGCGCGCGTTGCAGGTCAAAGCGTTCAGGCTGTTTGCTGTGTTTTACAAGGCGTTTCTGGGTGTGGACCGGCACACACATACCACCATTGCGATTGCACGGCAGCATGCGATAGCGTAAGTGTGTGCATTAGGTGCATCGAGCGATGCGGTGGGTTTGTTGTGGCGGCCGTCGGGTGGCACACGAGTGTGCATTGACTGTTGCCTGCCATCGTGGACGATGTGGCAGGTTGGTGGCGTTGCTCCCGAGAGCATTTCCAAAGCAGGCATCCCACTGGAGACTACCAAAGATACACATGATAAGACATTTACTGGACAACGTGGTGGAGCGCGGGATGCCGCACCATTATTCCACTGAGATGTGGGAGCGCACGCACAAGGGCACGGTCAAGGGTCCAGTTAGAGGGAGCAACTGGAGCGACATTCCGCGCCGAATCGTGGAGGAGGAGGTGCAGAGAGAGGTGTACCGTGAGGTGGCTGCAGACGCCGGCGGTGGGCGGCAGTATGCGTCTGCATTGCGCGAGGTGCGTAGGGGAGTGGTTGGTGCTACGATGGCCATTCAATGTGTAATGTTGCACGGGTGCCCATGTACGAGCGGAGCCTGAGGCAGGTTGCGGCTTGTTGTGGGAACGTGGTTGTACACGTGCAGGCAATCAAGACGAGGAAACCGGTGCTTACAAAGAAGTATCGGATCATGCGCATAGGCGGGGCGTCGGATCCGGTGTACGATGAGTACACAGCCGCGCTTGGAGACGAGATGAAGGGGATGGCCGCGGAGTTTAAGGCGTTGGACCTGGCTACCAACAACGTGCAGGTGTGGTGATAATGCTGTCGCACATACATCTCGTCTTAGCGGGCTTGCACGTTGGTTGCCACTGCACTGATGATGCTAAGAGATGTTGGATTGTACACAACCGCGTGACAGGTCCACACCGCGGTGGCCATTCCGCGCACAAGAGGCGGCGAGCTGGTGGCCAAAGGGACGTTTGTGAAGGCATCTCCACGAGAGAGGTGGTACTCGAACGTGGCACTTCTGAACAACAAGAAGGGGGACTGGTATGCAAGATGTCTGTGCATCTTCAGGGCGCTTGACCGTGATGGGGAGTGGAAGGGATACGCATACGTGAGGTACTACGAGAGGGCGGGAAGCTGCAAGCTTACAGGGTGCACGCAGCTGCACAAGAAAGTGGAGAAGGTGAGGTATTCGGTGGTGGAGCTGGGCAGCCTGCAGAGAGTTGTGCACGGGTGCCCGTCGTACAGCAACAACAAGGTGCAATTAGTTAACAGGTTTTTGCTATGTGAGTGACGGCACGTGTTGGTATGGTGGAACTTAGGAATGATGGGTACAGGATTGCAGGGAGTGTAGTCAACTGTGGTGGGATGTTTATACTTTGGGTGGTTCAGGTTAGTGTTGACGCTGATGTGTCGCCACATATTGTGATGAATAAATGTGATATGGTGTCCGTGGGTGTACATTGGCATTTTGTGCATGGGTACGCGGTGGCAACCCTAAACCCGAAACGTATATGTTGGTGTTTAAACAGTGAGATTATAGTGGTAGCGGTCAGTAAACCCGGCCTATAACGGGTCTTGGTACGGTTGACGCTTGTGCGGTCGAAGTTGACGCGCTTCAATGTGTGGTGGTGTGACCGACCGAACACCCGCCGTTGGTTGGTCGGATACGGGTGACGCGTACGTGGCTTCGATTCGCGAGGTGGCCTATCTGAATGTCACAGGTGGCCGTTTCACATGTGTCCGTTATCTTGGAGCGGCGCAGGAGTTGTGCTCGCAAACTTGTGTGGCGCTTGTCAACCCTCGTACGTAGTGTGCGTACGAGGGCAAACCGGGGTACGTTCCAGTGAACTACAACGTATATAGCAAGACTGGGTGCCATCCCCCAACGCATACTTGCCCACCTGGGTGACACACAGCTTCAATGGGTGACCTGAAGGGACTGCTGGCTACTGCGCACCCGGACGATGTGTTCTGCTTCCACGAGATTAATTTTCTTCCGAGCCGCCTCCCGAAGACATACATTCCAGACAAGCGTAATGTTTGCGAGCGGATTGTCAGCATCGGCATTCTTTACAACGCGACGGGCAGTTGTTCCGCGGTGCCACTGGTGGTCCTATCGCCGTACGATAGGCCCGAGCGCAGGCGGGGGCGCGCGGCATCGCGCATGGTGGCAGTCCGATATACGCACCGCGGCCGGTTGACTCCGGAGGTAGGTGACAATTACACCTCGCTGTGCACCATGTCTGTGTCATGTTTGCAACGTACATGTGTGGGCCGACACACTGATGGTGTTGTGCTGTCGGTGTATGATGCTATGCTCGCAGGTGTTCACGGAGTTTGTGGAGACTGTCAACGGTGTGCACTTTAGTCGTGATCGCAACACACTCATCCTAACCATACACGAGGCGCATCGCATCACCGACGAGGTCGCGCGCCCCGTCTCGGAGCACGGCTTCAGTGTGCAGCACCTCACCAACACCCGTGTCGTCAACATACGTGGCTCGGTTCCCGAAGGGGGCCTTCCGCACCTGCAGGGAGTGGAGGACGCGCTGAAGGCCCATTACCGCGTTATGCTGATGAAGCGGGCGATCGCGGCGAAGCGGTTCCAGTTCGACTATGCCGCTTCTATCGCCGACGTGGACTACGGACTCATGCTGGAGTGGCTGGGGGAATCGTGGACCCGTGTGCGCGCTGCAACCATGCAGAGGAGCTGGTGGCGCGCCGGATGCGTGCCGCCGAGCTGGCCGCCGCTGATGGCGTACCTGAACGACACCAGCGCGACGGGCATGTTTGAGCCGCTCATTGCGACTTGCGTCGAGCTGCAGTTGCTCATCGAGAAGTTTAAGATGAGGCCTGCGTGCTACATGACGGCGGCGGAGTTCGTCAACTGCGACGCGGGGCTCTGCGTGGAGCAGGGGTTCGTTGCCACACCTGCTGCAAGCGCGTCGGATGACTCGTCGGGCGAGATGAGCCTGCCAGACGGCCCGCTGCTGCGGGACGAGCGCAGCAGGCGGCGCGTCATTCGCAACGTCACAAACGCGTACGTGGAGCGTGCCGATGAGCTCGGCATTCCCCCGGCCCTCGTGCCAGCAGAGGTCGGCGCATCTAACCAGGAGGTGATTTCCCGCCTCGGCAGGACGCCAGTTAAGCGTGCGCGAGCGGGGCTGCGCACGGAGGACATGGCAGGCCCTTCGGAGCGCAAGGACGAGGACGACGAGTGATGCAGTTGGTTGAAGTTGTGCGGTGTGTGCGTTGTGCGTGGTGTGCGTAGTTGGCGTTGTGTGTGTGCGGTACCGTACGCCTGTGGATGACGGGGTTGGGGTTGTATTGCTGTTGTAATAGTGCTTGGAGGATTTTAATGAAAATGGATGAGTTGGGGAACCTTGTGAGACATTTGACGGTACGCGTGAACTTCGTTTACGGTCCGATGTTATAAGTTGACACAATGGACGCACCGCGGTCACCATAACGCGGGAATCTCATCGGGAAATTTGTGCACACGTTCGCGACTCGGGGTGTAGGTGTGCGCTCCGGGAATTCGATAGCTTTGCGACAAGGAAACTGTAATGTCAGTTTTTTGTGTCTGATGTACGCGCGCGTTTCCGGTGTTCAGAATGTTGCGATTTGCGTGCGTTGTTTTACCGCAGCTTTCCGCAACATTCACGCAAGGCAGAGGCAGAAAAACCTTCGGGGGCCAAAAAACGCAGTTTTCCTTTTTCGCGATGTGTTCGAGGCTCCCACGGATAAGAAGGGCTTGACGACGATGCGCTGCTGAAACTCATGCGGACAGTGGTGGTTGGTGGGACAGTACAAGTCTAACCGGTATGAAAGAGTGTGAAATTGCAACTATCACACGTCAGAGGAGACCTTAGTTGCTCTGATCAGACATGGACCAGACACAACGGAGGCTGTCTATGCTGGTAGGCAGACGGGTGGACGAGAAGATAATGTTTGGTGAGATGATGCGAGTTTTCCTCGATGTTAGTATATCGCTCTTCCGTCCGACCTAGAGCACGACATCAGCGTCTACGCAACATAGTGAAGCCGGTTGCATGGGATTCAAGCACCATGGAGAATCTGAAGGGAGAAAATGCCGGTGAGGCTTTGTCGTGACGGATACTGGAATCTAGATCTGACGCTTTGATCACCCAGTTTCGTGACGGTTGCGCGATACTATGCTGAGTCATAGCGCACATGGCATCGGCGATAAAAAAGACGGTGAGATTGGCGCTAGCGCGATGACTTTCCATAGCCGCTGAGGCCAAAACGGCGTTCGACAGCCGCGCCTGGTGTGGGTATTGCCACACGACAGCGAGCGAGGGAGATTTGGTTGAAAGAAGCTTCATGGAGTCAGCGCGCACGAGGATGAAAGTTTAGACTTGGTGACGTCAGCAAATCTCCTCCAATCTAACTCATCCTGATCGTCGCATCCGTGGTGCGGATCGAAACAAGTGCAAGTGACGCCTACTTTCTCGCCACGGAAACGGACTGGCGCACATGGCATTCGATAGACAGCGCGGGTTGCTCGCAACGCAAGAGGACAAGGTCTATTGAAATACTTGCGCCAAAGCAGCACCGCCTTAATCTCCAGATGTGGTGCGTATCTTCACTTCCCCTACGTCCCTTATCTTCCAAAGCGCTACAGTTGAGGATCAGGTTTGAATGCTCTCGACATCTTTCCTAGGGCGAGATTGGACACGATTTCTTGGTTTCCGAAGGGTTAGAACTGGATAAGCTTAGGTGCAGTGCGGTATCAGCTCGATCGCGACTGGCTGATTCTACTCGATCATGTGGCATCCTACTCCAGATAGGTAGGCACGTGAACGTTTTGCTACCAATTTCGGATAGCAGCAGGCACGTGAACGATAGCGTGAAGAGGGATGCTGGCGGTGGATTTTGACAATCGAGAAAATCGCATAGATCACATATTGGCCCTGTTCGGCAGCACTTCAGGAGCACTAAAAACAGGTCATCTTGGCCGTTGGGAGCCTGAAAAGTGTTCATGTTGGCCGTTGAGAGTGGTTCGGCACCACCAAAATCGCCTGCGACCCTCGTGCGACAAGACTTCATTCCGAGCTACCCACCCCACACAACTCCGAACCTCTCGCCCAACCCCAAGCCTGACGTGGGCCCAGAAGTCAGCCAACGACCAATCACAAGAAGGGAAGGCCAGAAGATGGGTACTCATCTTTTCAACGTGAGTACCCATCTTCCGCCTAATTGAGACTTCCATTTCGGGCAGCGTGGGGGGTAAGTCCTGCGTCCCCCAAGTGCCCTCCTGCCCAGATTGGGGGTATTTTTAAACATGTGCATCGCCAGCAAAAGGCCCCGCGAACACACGAACAGCAGCCCAGTGCAACGTCCTCGACATACCTAGCAGGAGCAACTTTTTTTTTTCAGATTTTCCGTCCGCGGGAGGCCTGACCGAGGGGTGACCCAGGGCCATAAACCTGAGTGAGTTGGATGTGTGGAGGATTTTTGGGTCGTTCATGTTGGCCGTTGAGGTCCGGTGGCCTGGTCTAATTTCTCTGTCTTTTGCGCGGACACTGTAGATACACCTTAGATTTTGCTGACGTGTTGCCACGGTGTCAGGACGACAAGCTGCCTTTGGTTTCCGAACTTCCCAACGTTCGGAACCAGACCTCCCGCACAACACCGAACCTAGATGGGGAAAAACGTGCAATTTTGCAGCCGAACAAGGCCATTACACTGTAGACACTGCCGTGCTTTCCGTTGCTATAGTATTGTAGTACTGCATTTGTCGTGGAGGTTTTGTAGCCTCTAACGAGGATTTCACTTCATGTCCTCAAAAGGACACCGCCATTTTATGCTAATCACGAAGGCAGAAACCCGACTGGACCCCAAATTCAGGCGTGCTTCCAGCGAGGGCTGTGCTTTATGTACCACTGTTTGAAGTGCGGTACATCCACATACAGCCAATTTTGTCAACAGGTTTACAGCTATTCTCTGTTGGTGTTTCATGATTCATTGATTTCTTTGAAACAAAATCAGGTACTACAATTACAACACCAGAACACCGCATGCCCGATGTGGGCTCGCGACTAAATCATCAACCTCCCTCCCACCCCCTCCTATCTACACATCACCCTTTCCCATCCCTCCCCTACTCAGTGGAAAAGGTTCCCCTTGATGCTGCCACATCAAACAGCTGGCAGACTCCTTGGCCTTCCCGCACGCCACGGGCTACCCGCCACGTTTGGGGAAATCACCCCCTTGGGACTTGCCTGGCAGGGACTGGGCAGTCGAGGCTTCTGGTTACCAGTAATAGTGGCTCTAGATGCTGCACCACAAGCCTGTGGCACCTGGTTACAGTCGCCATCCATGGTTACAACAACTCGCACAGCGTCACCAGCGTTTATGTCGGCGTTCGCTTTCGGAGAAGAGGAAATCGACCTTCTCTTGAACGCACCCTCCTCGAGAGTCCCTGCGCTTTCACTCCTTTGGAAGCGCTGTGGCCCGGTTGCGTTATTAGCAATGCTCCCAATACCCCCCATAGAAGGACTAACTTGCCCGCCTAAGCCCGCCCGCATGTCTTCAGCGCAAAAACCAGCCATGTCATGCAGATCAAGCACCGGGCGCAGCGCTGCAACCACCTCGGACATTTTCGGGCGGCGCTTGGCTTTCTTCTGCAGGCACTCTTTGACGATCGCCGCAACCATTTGCGCGCCCCGAGCGGAGTACCGGCCGCGAAGGGCGGGGTCCATTATGCGGTACAGTGTGGAGGGCGCCGAGAGGAAGGGCGAGGCCCACTCGACCAGGCTCTGCTCCTCGCGTGGTCTGGAAGATAAAAGGGAATGAAGACCATTTAGACGAATGTTTGCAACGACAACGATTAGAAAAGCAGGATTTGGAAAACAAAAAAGTATAAGGGGGAACTCTGCAAAGGGTTATTGAACTGGGAAATAGGATTTGGAAGTACCTTTCTTTGTCCAGCGCCAGCCTTCCCGTCATCAGCTCCAGTAGCACCACGCCGAACCCGTAGACGTCACTCTTCGTTGTAAGGTGCCCCGTTAGCACGTACTCGGGCGCCGCATACCCCACAGTGCCCACCACTCGCGTCGACACGTGAGTCTTCTCCCCGTCGGGCCCTTCCCTCGCCATCCCGAAATCCGATAACTTCACTTCAAGATCATTCGTTAATAGAATATTCGACGTCTTGAAATCGCGATAAATGACCTGATGCTCCGCCTCCTCATGCAGATAAGCCAACCCCTCCGCCGCGCCGAACGCGATCTTCAACCGTTGGTGCCACGTCAGCGGATTTGCCAGCGCATCCTCCCCGAAAAGCAAAAACTCGAGCGAACCGCGGGGAAGGAACTCGTACACTAGCAGCCGTTGATCCTCCTCGGCGCAGTATCCAATTAGACAAACCAGATTCGGGTGTTCCAGGAGCCCGAGAAAGCTGACCTCCGTCAACCACTCCCGCTCCCCCTGATGCCCGCACGTGTCAAGCATCTTTACGGCGACCGGGATTCGCCGGCCGCTCCGTGTGGGAAGGTAACCTTTGAAAACCGATCCGAACCCACCCTCGCCGAGAAATCCCTCAATGTCGAAATTTCTTGTCATTTCTTCCACTTGCGCGAATGTGAAGGGAATCGGGCCGGCCATCGTCCGTTCGGGTAGACCGTCCTGTGTGGGCTGGTAACCAGGTAACGGCTCGCGGACCTGGCATGGCGTTGACGAAAACTGGTTGTGCGAATTGGAGCGCGGCGAAATTTCGCTTGACGGTTCGCAGATGGGCATCAAGACGCTAGCGTGGTGGTGCATGCCGGACATGATTGGCGAATTTGCGAGTTCTGGTAACGACTTCGACTTCTCCAGCAGGTTAGGAGGACTTAAAGCGGGGTCGACTGTAACGGGTGTGACTTTACGGATCGGTTCGGCTCCCGCTGCGCTTTTACTCTTCACGATCTGGCGATCCGTTGACTCTGCTGCTCCTCCGTTGATCTCAGTCGAGGCTGACGGCGAGGATGCGATGCTGGATGAGCTGGCAGGGCTACACGTGGAGCTCGACCCTCCTGACGTGGCAGGGCGGAGCCAGCTGGACGATCGCCGGGACGTCGCTGACGACGCTTTTTTCCGGCTGCGAGGGCTCTGCGACGCACTGCTAGCGCTGCTACAGCTGCTAGAGCTGCTAGAGCTGCCAGAAGCCGCCTTAGTGGACGCGGCAGGGGAGGATCCCTTAGGGCTTGGCAGCAGCTGCGGCTTCCCGCCAAACGCGGCGGCAGCTGCGGCGGCGTCTTTCGAGGGATACGCTGGCGGAGTGGACGGCGCGGACCGCGGGCTGGTTGAGGCGGAAAGAGCGCGCGAGCGCACCTTGGACATGGGCGCGGACTCGGAGCGGGAGAGGAAGCTTCCAAGCGGCTTCGGGGATTTGCATGTGGCTGCTGCGCCCGTTGATATGCTCACGCGGGTGGGGTGAAGAGAATCAGGGCCGTCCCGTTCGGGAGAGGCGTCCCTCGAGCTGAACCCGAAGCAGCCCATGGTATTGGAGAGTGAATTGACTGGACTTGGCCGGTTTTCTCAGAGCTGGGACAGCAGTGGCAAGCCGTGATCTGCGGTTGAAAGACTCTACTCGAAATAGGCACTGCGTCAAATGTCTTGGGGACTGGGTGGAAAATTTTGAAGTCAGGTTTCCTTTACGTTGGATTCAAATAGAAGAGCTGCACCAGGCTTGGCTGGAAGCTGGAAGATGGGAAGGCCTAAGAACCGATCAGAGCATTTATGCTGGTGCGGCAACTAAGAGGGGAAGGTATGTGTGACATCGGCGGAGGGTTGCGATGGCCGTCAGATCAGGAGGAGGAGGGGGAGGAGGGGGAGGAGGAAGAGGAGGTGGAGGAGCTGTGAGAGAAGGCGAAGCAGCTTGGTTGCCGGATGCTAGGAGGAGCGAGGTCGGGGTTTGGGAGATGGAGAGGCGGACTGAGGGAGTGATAAGGAAGGAGAGAGAAGGGGAACGGGCACGGAGAATTGGAACTCGTTGCGTTGGCTTTGCAGCGTTGTCGCATTGAAATTGGATCCATCGAAAATGAGTAGCAACGGAAGCGCCGTCGGTGGCGCTGCTGCTGCCGCCGACTGAGCATGCTTCGGAAGGAACTATTCCCACGACTTCTTTTCGACCAATGGGAGCGAGGAGAGGAAACGAGTGCCTTGACTTAGGGAACGCCATCTCGCCATGTTAATCAGCCGTTGGGTGGTGGTTACTCGGCCTCGTGCGGACCGATCCGTACGGTTCCACGATTGGAAACAAAAAAAACGTGCGAAGTTCCCCGCGAATGCTCCTGACGAGTAGGATGCTGTCCGCTTATATCGCGTACAAGGGCAGCCGTCATTGCGTCACCTGACTCTTGGCTGCCGTGGCAACTGTTTCGCCCACCCTCTACTATCCTAGCAAGCCGGAGCGTGGAAAACCCCGGAATGCCAAGAGGCACACGGCCGCGGCTCGGCGAGCAACCAGCCAGCAGCAGCCATCACCCCATACTACCGATTCGAAGCTTCCTAACCTACAAGTGCCTGAGCAACCATGTGGGACGGTGTATGCGTGCTGCTGTGCTGCTGTGTGGCTGGTCTAGGTCTGCTGTTATGCTGCTTTGACCCTAAACCCTGCCGTGGTATGCTGTGTGAGTCTAACGGGTTACGAACGATAGACGGACCTTCGTCACTGTTCATGACGGTCGTGGTGTGCTGCGAATTTGTCGCAGGGGCTGCACGAAGGCTTCACGAGAACTGAAAGTGTCGCGTGGTTTTGGATAGATGGACTGATCAGTGAAGGAAACTCCAACGGTCGGAAACAGTTGCGTCCGCTGCATTGCAAAGCTCTATTGATATCTCGTAGAGTAGTTCATAGTGCTGCTGTTTTTAGTAGAGTTTCATGCATAACATATTGCAGTAAATTAGCAACTTCCGTACATACCTTATATAATAATAATTATTTAGGCATATATGAATTAAAATTCTAAATATGATAGAATATTTTTTTTAACATGGATTTGGAATAATAGCAAACTTCATGTTATCATGATATGTGTTGGTGGTGCTAAGTTAGTGTGTGTTATGTCCCTGTTTTTAATACTCCTCTATCTGTGAGGTGTTCCCCTCTGTTCGTTATGGGCCAACAACGGGGACGACCGTGGAAATGATTGCGATTTCCTAGATGCAGTAACCTCTGTGGCCTGTGCGCTGTCATTTGATGATTGCGGAGGTTCACATGTGGGGAGGAGCACAACCACACCACCATTGGCCAATACCCAGTGGTTGGCCTGCCGCGCCAGACGTCACACCAATGAGAAAGCAAAGCCTCTCTCCACATCACCTCACCATCAGCTCTAGCTTATGCCTGGGCGAGGTGATTGAGCCCTAACCGAACCGAAGGCCTCAGGTGTGCTCGAATCAAACCTATCGATGTGGTCAGGGTTTGGTTTGGGGTCCTTCATGTGAGATCTTTTGGAAACTTGCGGCGGGTGATTTTCCACGGCGTTTGAGTTTGGGTGTCCACCAGTGGAACGTCAAATTCCACAGGCCAGAAAACTATCATGTGCGGAGACCCCGGTAAAACAACTCCTATCCCCATAAATCACCATGTTTTCAGCAGACAGGCTTCCATATCATAGCCCACTCACGCATTCCCAGTTGGGACTAACCAGCAGTTTTGCTACCAGTGCATTACGTTTGCTGTTCGTGGAAACCGGGCAAACGAAAAGTACATGTACAAAACAGCTTTTGTCCGAGGGCAGGAGGGAGCTGTGGGGAAACGGGATATCCAACATTCGCAAGACCCAACCTTTCATCCAACATCACCTTCGTTAGAATAAGGGAGAATACGTGTTAGCTCCATATGTTCAGAACTCTCTCAAAATTAAATCTAAGCTCACTCGAACAGTCCAAGTTTGTGGAATTTCGCTCACGCGAGGCCCAAATTATGTTCAAAACACATCCTGCGGGGCTTAACTCTCGAAACGTGTCCATTTCGCACCAAGAATTTCTCGACGGGGCAAAAAAACATAATACCCCTAGTGAAACCAGGACACTTTTAGGGAGGGATCAACCCTAAACACGGGAACCCGCCCGGTGTTTAGGGTTGATCCCTCCCGAAATGTGCCCCGTCACCCTAGGAGTATTATGATTGGCTTACCCTGTTGATAAAATATTGGTGCGAAATAGACACGTGTCGAATTTTGGCCTCGCAGGACCAGTTTTGAACATGATCTGGGCCTCGCATGAACAAAATTCCACAAAGTTGGACTTTTTGGGCAAGTACCTAAATTTTTGGACTTTTCCATAAATTTTAGATATTTTTGAAACTAAGGACCTGGCATGTACTCTCCCTTAGAATAAAAACCGGGAGTTGCGTGCGTGCAACCAACCAACCACGGAGGAGTTTGACATTTCAGTCAGCCATCTGCTCCAGCTCCTGCACTGCTCGGTCCACGAGATGAGGCTTCCACGATTGCCTGCCTGGTCAGCATGATCGCCAGTTTCTTGCAGAGAGGAGAACCAAACTCTCTCTCTTCCCTTCCTCTCTCTCCTCCCTCCCACTTCGTTTATGCTCCAGTTCTTCTCTTCCTGTTCTGTTTGCACTTCGCTGTCTGTTCTCTAGCCTTTTCAAAAAGCTGTGAACCGTCCTTTCTTGTTCAGCCTTCGATTTCTCCGCTTCAAGCCATCTGCGATATCCGACGTTCGAAGCGCCTTTCAACTTCGCTTTTTTTTTTTTTTAGCTTTCCGTTGAATACGGTTTAGTTCTTTGTTCCACGCGATCCAAATTTTCGTTTCAGAGGTAAATGCCTGTTGGCATTAGTCAGGTTGTGCCGGCACGTGATTCTAGACCAAGTCGTTAATACACAAGATATCTGCTAGTTGTGGGAGGAATTGGTTGCACCCCATGGCAACAATGTCACCCCCTCCCCCTGTTCTCGATTCCAATTCCAGCTCGTCAGATCTTCCCCCAGGCGCCTTTATCGCCTCGATCACCGCCGCGTTTCTTGCCTTCGTCGGTCTTTTCCTGTGCCTCGTTTTCGCTCGCTGGTTCATTGCTCCTGAACCAGAACAGGAGGACGACAGGAATAACCAGCGGCGGAGACTTTTCGGCTTGGATAAAGACCTCGTCAAGAGCTTTCCGACCTTCGTTTTCGCAGCTGAGCAAGCCAAGGAGAGCGACTGTGTCAGTTTCCGTCAGTGCTGCATCTGCTTACAAGACTACGAACCAGGCGACGAAATCAAGTCTCTTCCGGTTTGCGGTCACAGGTTCCACGAATCGTGTATCGACATGTGGCTGGAAGGGAAGAGAACTTGTCCAGTGTGCCGGGCGAATCTCAGACCCAAGCCATCGGTCGACAGCGGGTCGAAGTCCGCGACGGATGGCGAACACGGGGAAGCAGATGTCGTGATCGCCATCAATCAACTTTGCGACAGCAATGGACAGTGTTGCAACCCAGCTTTGTGTGACAACGGTAGTTGTCGTGACGAAACGTCCAGAAGCGTGGAAGAAAGCAATCCCCCAGTTTCTCACACAATTTCGCTCGAGCGGATTTCGTCCACATCTACTCCGTTAGTTCACTCTTCCCAAACTGCGGGCTCCGGCGAACCCTTGGAGCAGGATGCTGATAGAAATTTGAGACCCTGACTCAACACAAGATGGTGATTTTCTTTTATTCAAGGAAGCTGAGTGGGAGAACCTGCGGTTATGACCAACGGATAAATTGTTTTCACGAAGGAGGTGTATCTGCAGCCAGCCAAGAGTATCTATCAGGAAATAGTGTCGCCAATCTGCGAAGTAGCAGCCAATGCAGCCTCTTCATTTATGCCAAGGTTGGGTCGTGGCTGATGTACATTTAAGAGAATGAGAAAACGTTTCTGGGGAGCAGCTTTACGAAGTGCCCAGAGTGCTACGTAGTGGGCAACATCTTGTTGCTAGTTGCTCGTAATCTGTAATAGGTTTCTACTTCATAGTCAACCCAGCAAGCTGGAAACTGTCGTACTGTACTTCTGAGTTGTGTAACGCAATGCACAGATCAACCATGATACGATATGCATGCTCATCTATCTAGGCCTGACAGCTCTACCAGCCAGCAACGAGTCACAACAAAACTAGGTGTTCGTCTTCAAACCACGTCAGTTCTGTGCGATGGGTTGCGTTCCAAAGCGGTATTGCGCGGCCCACACAGGCCCCACACACGACACCAGCCGCTCAACCGCTCCCTTGACGCTGTAGCCTGGGTATTTCGCTACGTCGTTTCTGTAACTTTATTTTTCCCACGTACTTCAGTCCTTAGCGCAAGCTTTCTGTATGCCCCGCTCTGCAGTTTTCACATAGACTTCATTGAATCTCGCCATTTCTCTCTGCGACGCGTGACTAACGCCTGGCTAATTCTTGGACAGCGGGGATTCATCTCTCGACGTTCTTACATAAAGAATCATTCCGTTAACGAGATTTCGCCTGGATTATCACTGACAATGTCGTCTGCTTCTGCCAACATCACCCGGAACTATGGCCTCGACGCGTCATCGACGAGCATCATCGTCACCGTCTCAGCACTCCTCCTCGTCCTCGTCTCCGTCAGCTTCTGTTTCTCGTTCGTGCGAAACCGAGCCTTTTCCCGCCGTCGCCGGGCGAATCTGGCGCTCGAAAATGGCGGCGCCTCACGCGGAAGGCCGGGAACGCGGGGACTGGAAGACGCGCTCGTTGATTCCTTCCCCACGTTCATGTTCTCCCCGGAAACGGCGGAGAGCGATAAATTCGTGGAGTACGGCGGTTTGAAGTTACCGGGAGAGGAAGGAAGAGGGGATTTGGAGGGCGGGAAGGCGGTACCGAACTGGGGGGAAGGAGAGGGATTTCGCGAGTGCGCGGTGTGCTTGGCGGAGTATGTTTCCGGGGACATGCTGAAACTGCTCCCCCCGTGCGGGCACGTGTTCCACGTGGACTGCATTGACACGTGGCTCCAAGGAAAAACGACCTGCCCGATATGCCGCCGACACATCGGTCCAAGTGCTGAAGTCAAGGAAGGAGATTCAGAAGGAGGCGGGATAGCGGGAGATAGGGGACAACAAATCGAGAGGGGAGAGCAAGGGGAGAGCAGCACGGGGGGAGGTTTAGCGGGTCTGGAAGCCGACAGAGAGGAGTTAGGGCAGCAAGCGGTGGCAGGAGCAGGTAGGGGGGTAGCAGAGGGGGAGACTTCGGCAAATTCTGTGCCACAGAGTGCGAATTCGGTTCCAATTGAGCAGCAGTCCGTTTCAGCAGCAACCGCTGGGGGAGGCTTACCCTCAGTGTGGGTTCGACTGTGGTCATTGTGGTTGAGAGAAGCTGCGACTCCTCCCGGGGTAGATGGCCGCGTTCTTGAATCTGTTCCGGTGGCCCCGTCCCCATCTGCCGTGGTCTTTATTCCTCCCTCTGGTGTATCATAGCAGAGGCCTTGGATACTACTGCTGCCATGGGAATGTTTTTGGAAAGGGCATGAGTTCTGCCTTGGGTGCTGGATGTGTGGCTCTGCTATGCCAAGGTTTTGAGATTGTGAGTGGGAATGTGAAACCAGAAGGTGCTGCACGCACATGAGGTCGGAGGATGCAGAAGCACAAGAGCTTGTGAAGGGTGCAAAACTCGTGGGTAGCTGTAGATAGTATGTAAATAAGGCACGAGGCAGTAAAGATGCTAGTGTAAGAATTTGCCTTAGTGCCTTCAGACGAATGGTTTGGTGGTTTGTTTTGTTGGAACCGTCATAATAGCTCCCTAGACATTGCAACGATATGGTCGGATGGAGAGACCATGCGGTGAGGATTGTTGCAATCGTGTAAAAGCAAAATTTCCATGTTGGCAAACAAGCCTGCCATAATGTTGCAATGCTGTGGTGTGTAATGCATGACATGTGGTTTGGTTTGTCTTCCCAACTAGAGGTGGTGCTGCCCATCACGATAGGTCCATCAGTGTTGCATCATCATCATAATGTGACATCATGGCTGAGACAGAAAGGAGAAAGGACAGGGCATTATGCTCACTGATCCAGCCAAACATCTTGCACTACGAGAAGTCATTGCATAGCCCGTTCCTAGGCAGTGCTTCTACGCTCTAAAGTACCGTACCGTACCGGTAACTGCATATCGGGTATCGAGAGATACAGGCAGGTGGCAGCATGAGTGGATTCAGCATCAGTCTCCACCGTCCCCCGTTGTCGCATGCCCTTATTGGGAGGTGGTGAGGTGGGGTGGGGTGAGGAGAGGTGAGGTCATGTCACAGCAGATCCCGTGTACGGACAGCTGGCATATTGTTGTCACAACCAAGTGTACTGTACGTGATGGTCCCAGGCGACACTTGAGAACAAATGCTTGCGTGGCTCCATCCGTATCGTTCATCCTGCTTGACTGCTGCCAGCTGCTTGTTCACTGAGGGAGTTCTGATTTGTGGGATCCATATCAGCTCAACAACTCCACTGATAAGGCCTGCCCTTCCCGCCCCGCTAAAAGCGAGACTGTTTTGGAAGTTCTTAGGGCCCAGCGCGTACGTTTTCAGTTCATCCTGTGCGGTTGACCTTGTTGCGTCACGCTGGAAACTGCAAATCGGTTTGAACCGTTATCGTTTTCACCATGGGTGATGAAATGTAAACGAACCGCAAACGTACGCGCTGGACACGCCCTTAGGTGCCCAAGCGACAGATCGATGGAACACTGTAGACCTGACAGGGAGCTGAGGTGTTGGCTGAGGTTCCATTTCTGCCCGCTAGCTACTTTCCAGGTGGCGCCCATCGACTCTTCCCCCGCCCCACACTTGTCCGTTCGACCTCTCGAATCTCCCTCGAAGTGGCGATCGTGGTCCATTGATTGCGATACGCACATACACCGATGGCCCACTTCCAGCCATCCATCTCACATCGAAATCTCCCCCGATTCCCGCGTTTCAACAACCCTATCCCTCCCCTTGGTTTTGGTTCGTTCGTCCCCTCCACGCTTAGTAACCATTCATTTGCTTGTGGCATGGCTGCGAAGTCAAGGATTCAAGGCGCAGAAAACAAGTCTTGAGATGAATGTTACCACTCACTCGAGTCTTCACTTTTCACGCAAATAGTTGCGCAGCCGCGGTTCTTACGCAGCTGCTGGTCTTGATTGCCTTACCTGGCTCTAGAAACGTTGGGGCTCCTTTCCAAATACATTTTTGTTGCAGCATCACGCATTCCTGATTCCGTTTACGGTCAGTAGGTCACTAACTGATTATTCTCCAGCACCAGCAGCTCAATTTCTCAGCCTTAGAGATCGGGCCTAGTTGTTACAGTAGCGTTTGTCTAAGCAAGAACGATTGGGCGTCGTTAGCGAAGCGTGCGACGCGTGCGAACATGTCGATACCAATGGAAGATGTCGTCGCGTGTTTGGGATTCACGCAAACAGATAACCCGTTATCTCGTGCGAAAGATCATCCGAAGGTTCGCAACTCGTTCTTACGTTCCGGGCTGTGGCCTCTTACGAGTTCCAGATGCTTTCTTCATTGTTTTCTCCATTGCGCGTGTTACGTTTCGCGTCTGGTTACGCAGCATTCGAGTTTCTCTGGTGTATTCGAATCACTTACAGTCTCATGACTGACAATAATCTTCCGTCATTGCTCAGATCGCACACGCATTGGCGGAACTAGCCGTAGAGCAAGGGCCTGACTCCATTACAGCATCACAGAAGGAAGCGGCCGAACAGGTATGAATGAGAGCCTGATTGTTCTGTGAAATGCTCAGGTTCAGCGACTTTCGAAACCTCGAACCTCGCCGTACCTGTTCGGTTGTTGAAATGCTGCGACTTTTGGCTCCTTCGCAACATCGCACGAGGGAGTCGTCGAACATGTGCGAATGTGTGCCTAATAGCCGTAATTGAACTGCAGCACCTAACTAAAGTAAAACGGAAAGAAATTTGCTAAAGAAGCGGACGTAAGCAGGAAAATATCAGGCAATTTTGGTTAGGCACAAGAACTTACCGCTTTTCCCGCCTTCCCTCCCCCACACCCTCCTCCATTTCCCCCCTCCTCCGCGCCGCCTCTTATCCCCCCCCCGATTTACCCTTCCCCCCCCCTCTTTCCCGCCCTCCCCCCTCCGCTCCCCCCCGCCCCTCCTCCTCCGCAGCTAATGGCCCTGGTGGTGGCGAAAGGGGCGGAGGACCAGGCACTGGCGGAGGCGGCGGCGCAGCTGCTGGCGATGACGGCAGCGAACGACAAGAAGAACCCGCACCTCATGCACGTGGACCGATGGGTCACTACGTGCTGCAGCGTGCTGAGTGAGTGATTGATGCGGCTGTGTGAATGCTGCGGCTGATGCAGAACTGTTGGACCGATGGGTGGTTCACTACGTACTGCGGTGTGCTCAGTGAATAATCAGTGATGTCGCTGTCATAACTCCTCCACATGCTGCAATGTTGAAAACGACAGCGTGGTATGTGTTATGAGGCGATTCAACTTACTTTACTTTTGTTTCCCTCTCTATCCCTTCCTGTCCCCCCACTATCCCCCCGACCCCTCCCCGTCTCCGTCTTGCTCCCCCGCCCTTTTTTCCTCGTCCCCTCCTCTTCCTTCCACGCTCTCCTCCTCCTCCCCTCCCCTCCCCTCCCCTCCCCTCCCTTCCCCTCCCCTCCCCTCTCCTCTCCTCCTCGATAGAGCGGTGCAAGGGAGCGAGCGACAGCAAGAGGCGGAAGAGCAGCTCACAAGCCAACGCCGGCGAAGCAGACACTGCCGCAGCAGCAGCAGCAGCCGGGGGAGAAACAGGGGGAACGGGGGGAACGGGGGAGGCGGCGGCGGGGGAGGCAGTGAGCGAGGCGCTGCTGGTGTGCATGGCGAGCTGTCTGGCGGACTTAATGAACAACCCGCGCAGCACCATCGTGTGCAGCACGCGCGCGCAGGAGATCTTCCAGTGCCTGCAGCCCGCGCTGCTGCTCCCGCGCGTCTCCAACCGCCTGCTCTACTTCCAGGTCTGCAGGGCGGTTTCCGAGGTGCTGCACCCCTCCACGTGGCCCATGAACCAATCCGCCGCCGTTCCCAAGCGCCTGCTGGAGCGGCTGATTGATCTAATCACTCCGGTTAAGGCCTCGGTTGCTGGTGGTGTGAAGGGTGCTGATGGGTCGGGTGATAAGGATGCTGGTGGGAATGAAGCCGATGCCACTGCTGCTACTGGTGCTGCTCAGAATGTCGCTGAGAATGGGGTAGGGGAGCGTGAGACAGAGGCCACGGAACCCGCCTTGCCAAACGGCACAGCTGCTGCAGACGCAGAGGCAGCTAAAGTAGCAGGGGCAGAGGCGGCTACAGCAGCAGCGGTAGAGGAGCAGGAGGGCGGCGGCAGCGAGGGCAGCAGCAACGAGGGCGACGTGACAGAGTCCTTGATCCACATGCAGGCGTGCAAGGCGCTGCTGGTGATGGCCACGAACGGCGCAGCGGATCTGATCGTGCAGCACGTGCCCGGGGTGATGGGCGCGCTGGAGCGGCTCAGGCAGGAGTCGGGCGTGGAGGAGGCCGTGGTGCAGGCTGACGCCGCGCTCATGGCGCTCTGGCTGTCACCCAAAGGATACTCGCTCTCCAACCCCGAGGTACGGGTATGGGTTGTCTGATACTGTAGGTGTTGACGCCCGGGGTGATGGGCACGCTGGAGCGGCTCAGGCAGGAATCGGGTGTGGAGGAGGCCGTCGTGCAGGCTGACGCTGCGCTCATGGCGCTCTGGCTGTCACCCAAAGGATACTCGCTCTCCAACTTCGAGGTGAGGATATGAGCTCCCTGGTTTTCCACCTGCAGGTGTCAAGGAGGGTGCTCTTTGTGACTCTCGTCATGTCTCATTCTCCCCATTCCCATCGTCGTTCCCCTGTCCTGTTCCCTCGTCCTCGCTCATCCCCTCTCCTCCCATCCTCATTCCTGCCCTTCACATTCTTTCCCTCCCCTCATTCCTGCCCTTCGATTTCTTTCCCTCGTCTCACTCCTGCCCTCCGAATTCCTGTTTTCCCCAGCTGCGTCCAGTGGTAGCAACACACCTGCTGAGGGTGCTCGGTTCACCAGACTTGGTGGATAACCACCAGGACGTCAGCTTGGCACTGGTGACTCACTCCATGTCTCATTCCCCCTTCTCCCCCATTCCCGTCCTCTTCCCCTGTCCTGTTCTAACTTCCCTTGTTCATTCGTGTTTTCCTCCCCAGCTGCGACCGGTGGTAGCAGCGCATCTGCTGAGGGTGCTGGGCTCGCCAGACCTGGTGGATAACCACCAGGACGTCAGCTTGGCTCTGGTGACGTCAACCATCAACCCTGACGCTGCCACGCGGGCCAGCATGCTCCAGCTGTACGCGGGACTGCTGAGTCAGCAGCAGGAGCTGACGCACATCCTGATTGGCCACGTGGATGACACTGACAGCCTGGCACACCAGGTAAGGGGAGGAGGAAGCGGGGAGTGAGGGGAGGGGGAGGGGGGGATGAATGGGGTTGGGGGAGGGGGAATGAGCGGGGATGGGGAGGGGGGATGAAGGAAGAGGGAGGGAGGGATTAGGGGGAGGGTGAGGAGGGAATGAGGGAAAGGGGTCGGAAAAGGAGAGAGAAGAGGGAGGCAAGGTTGAGAAAGATTGGAAAGGAGTACAGTGGATGGATGATGCTTCGAGTCATGACGTTATCCCCACACTCCCTCCTCCACCCCTCCCAACTCACTCATCCCTGTCCCAACACAACTTTCTCCTCACACTCGTTTCCATCCCTCCTACTCCACTCGCCCTATTAGATCGTGACTCATTTCGTGCTGCACACATGTGAATCATAAGAATATGCTAAGGCCTTTAATTCGCAGCCAAACAGAGGGCTTACAGTCTTTGCAACAACTGCTTCTTCCTCTTTCTCAACTATCTCCCCACTCACACTCTCCCCACATTTCACATACCTCCCCTCACTCACTTCACCCACGCACACTCTCTCTTCCCACACACTCTTCTCACACACTCCTCACCACACTCACCGACACATTCGATCTGCTTGCACTGTCAGAGAATGGTGTATCTTGTGCTGTACATGTGCGAGTCAGAGAACTGTGCCATGAGTCACCCTGACTCATGTTTCGAAGAGGCTTTTCGGAAGCTAAGGGTTTTCCAGATCTGCGTTTTTTTTTTTCACAAGATTTTTACTGTTGTTCCTTTGCTTAAGCGTCCTCTCTACTACTGCAGCCTTCGAAACATGAGTCAGGGCTCGCACTGTCAGAGCATGGTGTATCTTGTGCTGTACATGTGCGAGTCAGAGGACTGTGCCATGACCTTCACAGCCAACCAGGCTTGACAGATTCGCGACTGTGAGGAAACTTTCTCTTTCCCGCTCACACTCATACCCTCTGCTCACTCCACTCACCCCCATTCAACTACTCGCCCCATCAGAGCGTGGTGCACTTAGTGCTGCACACGTGCGAGTCAGAGGACCGTGCCAAGGCCAACTGTCTTTCTCCCTTACTCTTCGACTTCCCCCATCAGAGCGTGGTGCATTTCGTGCTGCATCTGTGCGAGTCAGAGGACTGTGCCAAGGCCTTCACACACCCCCCCCTTGACCTCACCCCTATCCCCCGCGTGCCCCATCAGAGCGTGGTGTATTTTGTGCTGCATTTGTGCGAGTCTGAAGACTGTGCCAAGGCCTTCACAGCCAATCAGGTGGACTGTGAGGCGCTAGTGGCAGCGCTGGTGGTGGCGGCACAGGCAGAGAATCACTACGCACCCATCGCTGTTCTTGTTCGCCTGGCTAGCCGTCCTACCACCTGGTAAGCAGTGGGGGATGGGATGGGGCTGTTTTGTGCTGCTGTATATGCATGCGCGTGCATGCAAGGGGTTTGCGTGATTTCTCTGGGAGTGTCTGGTGGCAGTGCTAGTGGTGACAGCTGCTACAGAGAACCAGAGAATCACTATTCGCCAATCGCTGTCGTTGTTTCACTTGCCAGCAGGCCTGGCACTTGATGCGCTCTTACGCGTTGTCCTGTGCATTGATGTGTGTGCCAAGTAAAAACTGTGGATTCTCTCTCACCGCCCCTGCTTCCCACCCTCCAACCCCACCACCTCTCCTCCTGCATCTTACGCCTTCTTCCGCCTCTAACCCCTTCACAGGGACCAGGTACTCACACACATCGACACCAGAACACTCAATCGCTTGCGCGCCATTCCCGGCACCCGCCCCCGACGAGAGGTAATCTCTGCTTCTGACCCTTCCCTGCTGAATCTTCCCTTCTGACTCTTCCCTGCTGAATATTCCCTTCTGACTCTTCCCTGCTGGATCTTCCCTGCTGACTCTTCCCTGCTGCTCCTTTCCCAGCATTCTTCAGTCAGCCCTTCATCCCCATCACCACCCCCCCTGACCCCCCCTCCTGCTCTGGTTGCATCCCTGGATTGCTGCCTTACCCATCCCTCCCTTCCCTGTTTCCCTCGTTCCATCCCTCCTTCATCAATGTTCCATCTCACTCACACCCTGACTTCCAACCCTGCCCAAATATCACCCCCATTTAAGGTGCCTCTAAAGAGTACTCAAATAACACTCCCATTCCCCCTCTTTCTCTTGCTTCGCCTGCAGGTTGATCAACTGGCTGCAGCATATGCAGAGTACAAGGGAGAGAAGCCCCCAGAGCGCACAGCATCCATGCCATCGGAGGAGGAGCAGTCCAAGGAGGACATTCTGAGAGACATTGTACGCAGCCAGTCCCACAGGAGCCTCAAGTCAAGAACTGCAGGGGATAAAAGCTTTGAAGATCTGGCAGGCGCCGTTGCAAGCGCGGCGACAGGCGTTGCCAAGATCACTGTAGAGGAGTCAACAGATGCTTGAAGTGAAGTGAACTATGAGAGTATTGGTCTGGCCGGGAGTAGTGGAAAGGCAACCCCGCTACGGTGTTTTCTTCCCTGTACTCTAGGGAATCTTCGTCTGGATAGGAAAATAGGGTGCTTGTGAATGCTGTGGAGTGATGTTTTTGTGTGTGTAGTTGAGTGGCAGGTGGTTGAATAAGGTTCATTCCTGCCACTTCCTGCATGATAGTGCATGCAGAGTGGTTCGTACAAGAGCGTGCACAGGACGGCTGTGTATTGTTTGATACCGTCGAGGGTTAGGTTCAGGGTCATATAATGCTGTGTGGAAGAGTTGATTCTTGACTGAAAACAGCTATTTCCAAACATTTACCCAATTATGGAACTAAGAACAGAACCTGCAATAGTTGAAAGAGGGGAAAAAATGTCAATGGTAACTTGCATGGGCAATTATGACGCAGACGATAACGATGTCAACGCGTTTGGTAACCCGTTTAACGCGCTTGGTAACTTGCTTAACACGTTTGGTAATTCACTTAATGCGTATGGTAACTATACACTACACCCTGTTTCTCGCTACACTGAACTGTGCCGAACTGGTGGAAAACCTTGTTATCTTCGATTTACCTAATTGGACCATACCGAAATGCAATTTAACCACCGTTAACCGTGCTTTTCCCATCTTGTCTTCGTTGTAACCGAAATCATAATGGCAAGAAAGAGGGTGTAGCAGCCCATCACGCGAATGGTAACTAGAAGAAACGCCCAACTTCATTGATACTCAAATTATGCCAGAAGCGGTTTGCAAACGTAATCAACCAACAATTTTGCAGTGTAGTAACTGAGAATACTGTTTTATTTATTTATAAGCACAAACCTGAAACAATGTCGCCACCAGCTGCTCCGCACATATCCAACAAAAAAGGAAACATACCGTCATCGCCCGGACATAAGACATATATGTCTTATCTCATACATAAAAAAAAATGCTTGGGTTATCTTGTATTTGGGGAGGTTTTGGGTGTGTGATAAGTCTTATAAATGGAAACATTTTTAAACTACTTAGAAATATTTTCACGCTTCTTGAAAAGAGTTTCTCATTAAGAGTGTCGATGTTGCAAAGTTGCTACTTCGGCAACCATTGTTCGGGACGCCACGTCATCCCGAATACTTGCAGAGTCAAATTTGGTAGTATGTGACTCAGCACGTGGCAGAATTCGCGTGTCGCAAGGGTAAAAATGTACGCGGTATTTCAATTTTCACTATCATACATTGCAGTTTCGATTATAAGACACATATGTCTTATCTCGTACACACAAATAGGTGTCGTATAAAAAGGCTAGCTTGTTTATAAGAGACACCCGTATAATAGACAACCCCTGTCTACTATTCAACACTGTCTTATATCCGGGCGATGACGGTACTAAAACGCTTGGATAACCAGGACGGAATTTGGAAATGTTAACCCTAAATACGGGAACTCGTGAAGTGTTTATGACGACACCGCCCAATGGAGTCTGCTACATGCGGGCAATTAAAAATAACCTTCCTGTTAAAAGGCATCAATTAAGAATGACATTAACCCTAAACACATTGTCGCATGATGTTTAGAATTCATGTCATCCGAGAGGTTTTTTATTTTATTTCGAACGAGGTCAGCATGTCCACAATCGACGGAGGGTTAACGGTGTTGTCAACCCTAAGGTCATATCCCAGCCTAGTATCAAGAAGTTGGTGTCAAGACGTTTACGCACACGATTGGTCCAAAGAAGACGCTTGACCAATCGTATTGGCCGAGCGTCTTCTTTGGACCAATCGCGTGCGCAAACTTCTTGACACCAACTTCTTGACAACAGCCAAGGATACGACCTAATCCGTTGAGTTATTCCCAGTCTGCATCATTTTTTCCAATGACGTTTTTTTTAATATTTACGCAATTCTTGCTTGATACAAATTTTAATGGGTTGAGTATTCAATAATTTTTTCGTGTCTATTCTTAGGTAGAACCTCGACACAATAGTGTATATTTGAGTTCGGTAATTGCGTTCTGTATCTGTCACATTTCGGGGTTGTTACTAATGTAAAAAGTGTGATTGAAAAACGAGTGCCGATCAGAGATGAGCAATCTAGGTTGAGTATCGATGGAAAACGTCTCTGGCATAATTTGAGTATCAATGAAGTTAGCTGCTAGAAGAAACCCTCGCCCACAATGACCCTCATTCTGGTTTTTCCCGCTCGCGTCAGACGAAATTGACGAATCCTGAAGCAGAAACCTCTGACACTCTTAGAGATTCTGACACATCTTTCCGAAATTCAGACACACTTTCCGATTTTCAAGCGAATTGCAAGAGCATGAGTGTTGTGAGAACAACTGGTCTTACATAACTGACATTCTGGCGCTCTTTCCGCAAACTGTTTGTACTTCATTCTATCGTGCAGCCGAGGAAAACAAATCTACACCCCTTTCAGATGGCAAATGAATTTGAGAGGCGACGGTAAACTCCTTGCGAGAAGGCGTTTATGGTTACAGAAAAATGAAACATGTAATTCTAAAGAGTTTTTATTTTCCCACATGCAAAAATTCTCCAATGTTCCAGTAATTACAAAAAGTAAAAATCCTGATGTCCTTTCGGGGAATGTTTTTCTAGATAATTTTGCAAGCTCGCAATCATGCTATCTAAAATAAGATTTTAACAGCTCTGAAACTTTTCGGTCCGTGGTAGTATAATAAACGGGATCCTTCAAAGTCGCGGCGGGACTTGTTCAGAAAGGATAAAACTGTCCGTGTAAGGAAAATTTATTTTCCTTACTTCGCATCCTTGCTCAACGCGTACATCACTGTAGCACCACAGTCAGCACCGTTACCACTCGCAACCCTCGCATCGACAATCCGCCCGCCACCTTCGCACATCGCACCTCGACCTCACGGCTCGGCGGGTAACCCGCGCTCCGGGCCTCCGCTTCGACACTTTTTCCAACCTCAGTCCCAGGCCCGTCGCGCGACAACCACAGTCCATTACCGTTACCACTGTAGTTTCGCTATATATTCTTCGCTCATGCCTTCGCTCATTGTACTCTTGCTTCGATAGTGCAATTCTCAATAGTTCACTCAATTGCACTCGTAACAGTGTGTAAAAACTTTCAAAATCGATAAATTTCTTTTTGTCAGGATCATTTCGGCGGGAGTTTCATGTAATTACCATTCGCGTGATGGGCTGCTAGTGTATAGTTACCATACGCGTTACGTGAGTTACCAAACGTGTTAAGCAAGTTACCAAACGCGTTAAGCAATTTACCGTACGCGTTATAGTGCCCCATGTAAGTTACCATTGACATATTTTCCCTTGAAAGGGTTTCGTGACATTGATAGTTCGACACTTGCTTTTCCCCTCCTCCAGCGAGTATTCCTGACGAGCTCGGAAAATAGACAGCGTCAATCTGACGATATCGTCCAACCTCTCGGATTTCACGGTTTGGCGTGTCTATCCACTTAGAGGGGCTAGTTTAGTTTTGCTTGAGAACGTATTCGACCACTTTGTTCTCCCAGAGAAAGGTTTTGAACCGTAACTAACCAGTAAGTATCCTGGAACCGCACAAGTCACTCCAAAACATGCTCGAGCCACCAACGATATACGGATCGAAGGCTTCTTTGTGGGATTTGAAAATTGGGGAAATTCCTCCAACCCCATTCTTGCTGCCGCTGGTTGTTTTCCTGTCATGGCTTGCAGGCCAGCGCGGCATCGGAAATATCGATTAGATAGCGACATTGCTCTTCGAGAATAACGTCGTTGTTACTCGACGAATGGCGATAGTTCAGCCAGGTTTCAGTTTCGTGGACCATTGAGATTCCCAACAGTTTTGACAAGGACTCCTTATCCGGTTTTCTGATTTCACGGAGCTGATGTTGCATTCGAGGCAAGCTGGTCATGAGCTTATTCCGTCAGCCTTACGATCTGACGATTCCAATATCACGGACGAGTGTTCCTTCGCCATTTCCGATGCAGAATCGAAAGCCCAGCATCAACGTTTTCCAGGACGGCGGGTTCTCACTGGTCCCCTTAAAAATGGGTTGTCGCCATTATCCATTTTCACATATTACTGAAGGAGAAGTCTGTTACCTTCTAGACTGGGTTTACTTGTCTTTCGAATACTCCAACACATGCAGCCTTTTCCGGTCAGAATTTCTGCCGCAGCGAAGTTCATTTCTCGTCAAGGCCTTTCATTCTACGCTTTGGAGGAGATACTCGCGTAGTCGTTTCACGTCCTCGTATTCAGGAAAAGCGAAAGGAGCTTTTCCGGTGAGCAGTGGTTTGGTTCATGGGACCGGTGAGACGAAGAAGAGAGGCACTGCAAGGAAAATTGCAAGAAACCCCGGTAGGGAAATCACGCTCAGACGTTTGCCACAAGTTTGCCAAGTCGGAAGGTGCAGCTTCTTTTTCAGATAAGTCAAGCAGTGACTTTGAGATGGAAGCCGGTAAACCACAGCAAAAGAAGGCATCAGGTGCTACAACAACTTCAACAGCAACAGTCCATGCAGCAGCAGATAAGGGTGTACCAACAGGACAATTGACGGCTAAGCCTGGCGAACTGATATCGCTGATGGACGCTGATGCTCCACCTACCCCTCCGCCTTCTCATGGACATTCATTCCCAACTGGAGTAACGGATTCGCCCGCAACTCCTCTCAGCGTCAATACATCCGCATCCTCTTCAGCGACATCCTCATTAACAGCAGGAGGCTTCTCTATTTCGATTTCGGAATCAGAATCTGGTGCAGGTGTTGCAGCAGCACCGGTTCCGTCATCAGGAGATTCATCCTCGTTATTGGATCTCAACGTGGACGTATATGGAGGCATGGATCAGGTGTACCTCAAGGCAGCTGGCATGCGCAGTGACTTCACCATCACGTTTGGCGCTACAGTCAACTACCAACTTCACAAATTCCCCCTCTATTCCAAGGTAGAGGGATCTCCTACCCTTGTCAGAGTGAACCTCGGTAGAGTGTGTGCATCTTTAGCTTGACCGCAAATCTGTTTGAACTTTTTCTTTTCATCATTTCTTTCGTTGAACCTTCATTTTATTTTCTGTGTCATTGTCAGACTGACTATTTCTCCAAGCATGCTGTGGAGGAGGAGAAGAGCAGCTCCAGGCGGAATTCTGGAGACCCAGAGAGCTCCGCCAATGGGAAGCGAGCTCGTCTTGACCTCTCCAACCTCCCAGGCGGAATCGAGACATTCAAACTCGTCGCATGCTTCTGCTACAGCGTTCCCATTACAATCACCCCTGATAACGTCACAGCTCTCTACTGTGCAGCGATTTACCTGGATATGAGAGATGACCCTCGAGCTGCCATGTGCGGTGGTCCCTATGACTGTAACCTGCTTACCCTAGCGTCTCGCCACCTCACCTCGTATCTCTCTCACCCCCGGGCTGCTCTGACTGTTCTTCAATCGTGTGATGCCAGCTCAGCGATCCGGGCGAGTGCTGAGTCAGCAGGGCTGCTGCTGACCACTGTGAACGCGGTCGCACGATTGGTAGTGAAAGAAGCGGGGAAAGGTGACGACGCTTATGACGGTCCTGATGCTGCTGCTGTCAAAACAGATAAGGCAGGCAGGGAAGAGAAGGACAAGGATAAGGTTGCAGATGGAGCTGCAAGTGAAGCGGAGGAAAAGACGGACTCGGCTGGCGCAGGACCGCTGTGGCTGTCACCCCAGTTGCTGCATCTGTCCCTCCCCACGTTCGTCCAGCTGCATGCTGCTCTAAGGTGAGTTGCGCTAAGAGCGGTGGGACACCGGACACCCACACCACTTCTCTCCCCACACCACTTTTGGCTTCTCAATACCCCCACCCATCCAACCTGAGGGTATGATTGTTGCGCATATATGACCTTTGTTAGGGTTAAAGTCTCTTCTTTAACCTCTCTCTTTCCTCCCCGGCCCCTCTTTTGTCGGCTTCCCTCCATTGTTTACTTTGTCAATGCCAATGGCGAACCCGTTCATCAGCGCCATTGGGATGTGTGCGCTGCATCTCAGTGCCCTGCTGCACCTGACGTCTCTGGTTCATCCTCTCTTATTCCGTGCTCCTCTTCTTTTTCTCTCCCCATCCATCCTTCCGATGCTTATCTTTGTTGCTCCCATTCATCAGCTCCCTGGGCATGAGTGCGCTGCATCTCTTTGCTCTGCTTGAGGCCTACTGCAACACGTGGCTGCCATTCCCTGTGGTCAGCTCTTACGATTTCACTGCTGTCAATTTCTGTCAATGGGTTCGTTTGCACTCACACAGTCTGTCCTTATTACTTCGCTTCCCATGGTCGCGTCGACACTTTCAATCACCAGTCAATCATTCCCTAAGGCTTGTTCATCAATGTCTTGTTCATTTATTACTTTGTCTCGCCTGCGTGAAAACACTCTTGGTGATGAAATAACTGCACTACGATTCCTGCTTTTCCAAACTGCCTTTTCCGTCCTTCCATCAATCAGGACGTCCCATCCACGTCCACATCACCTGCAGCCACGTCAGCAGACGCCCAGACTACTTCCACATGGAAGCCAACCCTGGAAGCAGCAGTAGCGCTGCTCTTTGCACTCTCAGCTGGGCCCTCCGCAACAGGGCAGGCTGGAAAAGGGGCTGTGGGGCTGCCGTCCATTCAGCTGCTGGTGCGACTGCTGCGCCTCTGCCCTGAGGTCGATGCCAGCAAGTCTGCCAAGTCGCACCTGCAAACGTAAGGAGTTGCTTGTTTGTTGAACTTCTGTTGAATTCACGTATGGTCATTGCTTTGTGATCATCAACCGTTGGCCTTTCACCTCCTTGGCACTGCCCTCCTTTGCAGCATGATTGGCTGTCGGATCACCGAGTGTCAAGTCGACCACCTGCTTCCTCTTCCTCCATCTGAGATCCTCGCTCTCCTCACAATCTTCACTTCAAGCACGCCTGATACAAACGCTTCTGCTGCGGCAATCACTCACCCAGCTGGCTCCTCTGCTGCAGCTGTGGAAGGCGCAGGCGCTGCCAGCCTCTCTCAGGCTGCATCTATTGTGGACAGTTACTTGAAGGTGCGACACTACACCTATGTTACCCTTCCAGCTTAAGAGCATGCCTTTTTGCAGCATAAGTATGCTGAATCCATTCCATTGCTGTACCCATACCCTGGCATTCCTACCCCCCCTTTCCCCCCTTACCCCAATTTACTAAATGCCGAAATCACTCTTTCCAGCCATCCCCGTCATCTCTTTCGAGTGCAACTGGCTGCTCCTACTTTTTCAAAACTATGTTCCATTTCGTTACCACCCGTCCCGCTTCAGGCCATCTCCACCTCTCCCAACAGCAGCAGCATCAGCCCCGACTCTTTCATATCCCTTGCAACCGCACTGCCTCTCGCCTGCCGCCCCTTGCACGATGCTCTCTATGAGGCAGTGGCGGCTTACGTAGCAGCCAGGGGGTGGGGGGTGGGGGGGTCTGTGAAAGGAGGGGGGGAAGGAAGTGGAGGAGGGGAGAGAGGAGGCGAGGAGGTTAAACTCCTTGTTGGCCTGATTCAGCCTGAGAAGCTTTCAGGTAACTTCTCATTACAGTGGTTATGTGGTATCCTCGTTTTTGGCCTACCCTCCCTGGAAACTTGCATGTGACTAGTTTTCTACCTTGTCCCATCCCCCATCCCTCATCCCATAACCCATCTTATCCCCCCTTCACCTCCTCATCCCATCCCCATCCCGTCACCCATCTCATCATCCCATGCGCCATCCCACCCCCCCTCCGCCCATCTCGTCGTCCCTTCCTCCATCCCATGTGCCATCCTCGTCGGTCAGAGCCAGTCGCAGATGCTGCCTCATCCACCTCCCTCTGGCCGCCCTCCTTCACTGTAGCAGTGCTGACATGGCAGAAACAGGTAAGCCGCCCAATTTCTGCAACATTCTGATAGGATCCATCTGGCAAAGATGCACATTGTTACAAAGATGCATGTCATTGGCTTCCCTATCAATCCTCTTTCCTACACCCTTACTCCTATGCAAAACCATCATGTCGAATGTCGCATATATTCCCCCTGGTATTCGCTCTCTCAGCTGCTCGCAAACCATGCACAGCAGCTGATGTCACGAGGCAGGGCGCTGCAGCAGCAGAGGGAGCGGGCAGAGAGGGAGAGGGAGCAGCTGCAGAGAGAGGGGCAACAAATGCAGGCAGAGGTGGAGGAGGAGGAGGGGAAGGCTGTTGCTGTGAGGGCGGATATCAGGCAGGAGACTCACGGGCTTACGCAGGCTTTGGTGCAGGTGAGTGTACCTTTTAACATTTTTTGGCGGCACTTGGTTTTCGTAGTGACTGCTCTCTGTGTTGTGCATGCATGGAGAAACAGAATGTGCTTGATTCTGGCATTTCAGGCTCGGAGCTAGGGTTATGCAGTATGGTTTTACTTGGTTAACTGAGCTGGCAACGTGTCTTGTTTATGATTCCATGCAGGTGCGATCAAGCATATCTGATTTGGAACGAGACCTGAGTGTAGCACTTGAATCCAAAGCTCGCCCCAAGGTATGAAGCTGAGACATTGAGACTGCAGCCTGTTTTTTGTACTACGTTCCCATTCTCTAATAATGCTGGCATCGTAACAGGGCAGCAACACCGCCCTGTCATTATCCTCCTTCCCTATGCTCTGGTTTGTGCAGAAGCCAACATCTTTCTTCAGAAAGCTCTTTCAGCGGTCTAGCCGTGCTAATCAGTGCACGTTCTGTCCATTCTGACACTTATGGTGCTAGTCAAGTCAACATCGTTTCATTGTATGTACATAATCTTAGCATTTTAATACACTTATTTCACAAATACCAAAACAGAGGAGCAGCTTCCTGGGGAGGAGCTCGCTCGATGTGTCTCCCAAGGCCCAGAAGCCGCATCCTCCTCAACGCACCAAATAACGTAACAATTTTATTTGTCAAAAATGGAGTCGTGACAACCGCCAATATGGCGGCGCTCTCCGGTGGATCCTTGCTCGCCGAGGCTCTGCGCAATATCGCAGCGCTTCTTGTATGTAACTGATATGGCGTTATAGCAGTTAGAATCTGAGGTAAGTCCCAAGCTGAAACCTTAAACCTTGAAAGGGTTTCATGAAGCAGCCTTCACACACGAGACTGCCGCAGCACGACTCGCGCGCAACGCAATCCGCTCCCGAACGGCCCATTCGAACACGGAATCGACACTCGAGGTCGACCAACGGTTGGTTGACGCAACGACGCGGCACCGAGTAGAGCAATGCGAGCAGCAATGCGTGCCGACAGATTCGATTCTTGAAGAGTTGCGGGGAATAGTGTTGTTAACGGGAGTTCCAGAAGCGGGGGTTCTAGTGGTGGTGGTCGCGGTTGTAGATCGGGTCGCGCGGTTCCACATCTCGAGTCGCCGATCGCTCCTCGCGCGCCAGTTCAAATCCGCGGGGCTGCCGTTTTCCGCCGTGCGGTAAGAAATGGAGCCGCTGGCATCTCTGCAGAAGACCGGATCAGCCGATGCGCAGCGCGGGATGTGCAACGAGGTGGTGTGGACGGCTGTGATTGGACGCGACGCCGGCGACGATGGGGTCGACGAGGATGTCGCACAGGCGGAAACGGCTCGCAGCCGCTCTGTCGCATGATGGTCGCCAAGGTTGGATGGCGTTGCTGCCGGCAGATCGACAGTTCTCGGTCTGATATCGTGGGAAGAATCGCGTGTAGAAGCCATTTCGTCGAATAATAAATCAGTAGCAGCAGATGACGCGATGATAGTGCGTAAACGGAATAATCTCAGTCCCGATGAAGGTGCTAGGCTGGAGAGTGAATACAGCTTCCAGCTGGATTTCGATGATGTGGGCTGAAGTAGAAAACGGCTGATGGAGATGAAGGAAATGGAAGACCCTTTATTGTGAGTTGAACACACAGCAGCACAATCCGTTCAGCACTGGTAGCTGAAGCGACAGGGGCTCCCAGCCATGGGATGTCGTTGGGGAAGGAGAAATGTGCGGTGGTGGTGGAGAGGCGAGATGTGTGCGGGGAGGCGGGGCGAGGCAAGTTGAGGGAAAATGAGGGCGTGTCCAGCTCGTTCATTTCGGGGTTTTTAGTGCCAACACACGTCTCGAGGCTCAAAAATTTCACTGTACCTATAAACGAATGCATTGTGAGTTGAGTCCCACATACCTGTAATTTCAGGAGCGCGGACACGTTCTCCGCCACACGAATCAACAGTGCTCTGTTCGGGTTCGAAACGAGGTAACGGTTTCCCTCGTCAATCATAGCTAACGAATTTTTGTGCAGGCGGGGGGGGTGTTGGCGAGTGTAGCGAGCTACTGGCGAAATTGTACATGGGGCACTACTGTAGTGGCCATGACGCGGTGCTGTACCCTTGTTCGTGTCCCCGCTGATTCCAGTAACGTGAGTCAGACGACTCGAGGTACGTGCAGGGGGCGTGCCGTTTTGTGAACGAAAGCTGATTGTGTCCGCAGGACATGTTCAATACAGTGTTACAACAAAAAATGTGGTAACTGAGCGGGCTGACAAACAGTAAATGTACGAGCTGGACACCCCTGAGGTGCGACGAGGTGAGGGGAGGCGAGGTCAGGCAAGGCGAGGAGGGGTGAGGGGAAAGTAGGGAACATAGGAGGGGGGAAAGAGGGAAGTTAGGGGGAAGAGCGGCTTTCACCGCTGAGAGGGTTGGTGGAAGTTTGCGGGAAGTGAGTGCGGGAGAGGGGGCAGTAACGAGTACGCGGACCGCGGTGGGAGAACTTGTGGATGAGGACGAGGAGGAGCGGAGGCGGAGGGATAAGACGAGAACAACACATATGGAAGCTGGCATCGCGACGAATTCGTCTGGTCGTGATTTGGTACGAACCTTGAATGTTCAGATTTCGCGATCATTTGTCCTGCCGAAGCCATAAAACTCGTGGAGGCGGAGAGCGAACAAGCCAATGCACTCAAGATGGGATCGCTGTCAAGCCGTATCCATGTTACGTCTACAGTTCTCATCGAATCTAGCAAAGTGATTGTTCGCAATCATCTTCTTTTTCCGCATTGTCTGAATGCTCCTCCACCAAAGTTTGGCAATGGAAATGGGCAATTTCGCTACTTCAAAACGTATTTCGACATCCTAGATTACCACATTTCTTGGAGATACCAACTTCAGTGGGAAGCTATGTGTTCATTATTGAGACAGACCGGACAACAAAGCGCCAAGTTAATGGATACAAAGGATCCAAATCTCCCTTCTCACAAGGAAATTTATTATCTCGTTTGTTTTGGTCAGAGAAGACAGAAACCAAGTGTGGTTACGGTCTGAACAGAAATAACGACCACGATCACATCCAATCTAACCAACTCGATGAAATTATTCCAGTTGTTGTTTTCACAGCTTGGTGAGAGGATCTGTTCTTGTCAATTCGATATTAGAGCATTCAACGCACACTTAGGATAAAAGTCTATCACTTGGCCTACAGAATTCCACACACATATTCTATATGCAAATTCCAGGTTCAAGACTGCGTCATGTTTTGCATATGGATAGTTGGTGGATGTTAGTATTCATACAGTATATCTCCTGTGGTCGTCCCCAGTTCTACTTGAAAGTTGTAAGTTTGGACCCGTTTTGGATATGAAGATCTGCATCATTTGATATAGACTGACAAATGAAATGACCATATGGGCATCATAGGACCAGAGGGGGTTATTGCCGATGGTAAGTAGACGACACTATAAAGCAGCAGCAGAAGCAGCAACAACAGCAACAGTAAGGCAGGAGGGGCAGGTTGGTGGGGGAGAGGAGAGAGGACAGCACAGCCAACAACAGGAGGTTCAGCAGGGGCAGGGGAGGCCGGCGAGTGGGGTTGAGGAGAGGGGACAGCAGGGGCAGCAGCGGGATGGCCAGCAAGGGCAGGGTATGGAGGGGGGGGGATAGGGCGAGGGTGCGGGGGGGGTTGGGTTTGGGGAGAGGAGATGGGAGGAGGCAGGTGAGTGGGGGAGAGGATAGAGGGGCAGAGCCGACAAGGAAGGAGGCACAGAGGGACCAGGCACAGCAGCAGCCAGCACAGCAACAAACGCAGGCTGGACACACAGGCCGCAGAGGGACACCAGCCCGCATTCCGGACCTGAATTGCCGCGATATAGAAAAAACTTGAATGGTGTTGGTAGACGTCTCCATTACAAATCTACAGCAGCAGGGGAATACCGGGCTTAGACGAGTGGCCCCAGTGCAGAAGGATGTTGCAGCAGCTAGACGAGTACAGGACAAGTTGCGGGATTGGGCACCGCATATGGAGGGATTACAACTGCCACCACATTTTTATGCATGTGTAGTGGAGACGATTGGGTTGCTCAGCGAGCCAATCAGGTAGCTTTAAAGGTTTTGTGCGCGGCGGATTGCACAGCGGCGTTAAGACTTTGGTGGGGGGGAGCGACAGGTCAGCACGGATTTTCGAGATCGGGCTCACTAAACGACTTTCCGAGGCACTGGAGCGAGCGCAGGCTCAGAGTATTCTACAGCATGCGGTGCGGCAGTTGGGAGGGTCAGACGATGGGTGGATGCCCGCACCGGTCCTTTTGGGTGCGGGGCAGGGCAGTTGGCATCACATTACCGGCTGCTTTGAGAGTGTGGCAGACATGCAGTATGTGTACAATGCATATGTGTAGGCGGTTAGCGATTGTGCTTGAAATGCTGTGTCCCGCGCTGTGGTGCGGGTTGCTGTGGTGTTTTGGTCCTTAGGTCTTTCCTTCCTCTAGTTTCTTCCTCTCTTCCTTTCCTCTTTCCACCTTTCCTTCAACCCTTCTCTTCTTCTCCGCCTCTTCTCTCCTAATCACGTACGGATGACAGGCCCTCAAAATGAGTGCTCAAGGGTCGCCATCAACCTTGATTGTGGCGGCAGGTAGGTCTGTCTCAGACTCTCAGCTCTGTAGAAGTTCTCCATAATTGGTATGCCGAGTCCTCAGCAGGGTTAATTTTTTTGTTCTGAGCAACCCTTATGATCAGTATGGCACTAGTTGAAAAATCTGATCATCAGTGTGAGACCTTGTGGAAAACCTTTTCCATCAGGTTTTTTGTCACTTATGAAAAATCGACCCTGTGGCATCAGTGTACGAATTTTACAAACCTTGATGAGTTGTTATTTACAAGGGACACACCAAAAATATTAGTCTTCATTATCAGACATGCCACAAGGGTCTTGCTCGTCGTCGCTTTCTTCTGCTGGCTCCGGCACTTTCTCTTTCCCCTTCCATTCCACTGGGGTGGCATGAGCCACTAATCTCGCCTTATAGTTTTCTGCTTGCGCCAAATCTGGACACATCTGGCCAGACGTACGAATACTTGAGCATGTGCAGCGTCATCAGGTTGCCAAGGCGTGCATCGCACAGCGACGTGTGCATCCAGCTTTTTATAATGTTCTTGTGACTATATCCTCTCTCACACTCAACTGTGCTCAGTGGCAGCACAGCGAGGGCCTGCCAGAGTGTCATTAGGTTTGGATAGCTGCGGCGCGAATCCCTGCTCTTCAACTCATTTTGCAGACCCTGGTGGAAATCCTCCCCCGCGTGATGACGCGACAAGATGTGACAGAAGCTCCGCAGCTCCTTCTTCGCCGCCTTGAAATCGAATCCTGACGTGGATGTGGTATGGGGTGGTGGATGAAAAGGGACGGTTGGTTTAGCATTACTGTAGTAAACACACATGCAGTTTGCAAGCCGAATCAAACGCGTGTAAGAAATATAATCTCACCTGAGAGCATGCCGCCAAACAACTCGTCGTTTGCTGCCTGCCACTCCATGCACTTCAACTCCCTCTGGTCATCCTTGGATGGCTACGACTCGACTTGAAAATGCTTCGCGCCGCCCATCTGCTGCAAGTCGAACATGCGATACTTCATCCTGGCCAGGATCTCCTTAGCGAAACCTGTGCAAAGCTTCACACAGTCAGCAAGCGTGCCCCCATACTTGTGCTTCTTGATAAGTGTCTCGCTCAGCTCGAAACGATGTGTTGTCTGTTGAAATGAACGAACAGGAATGAATGAACTAACAGTGAAAACAGTACAAATACCTAACCCTAGAATTGTGTACCCCCTATAGGCTAACCCACTATAGCCTAAACAAGCACAACAACATATATAATGTTTGACACACCCCCATAGGCGAAGTGGGGGAGAACTAGGGGTCACAAGACCAGTCAAGGCAAAGCAAGGCAAAACAAGTTCAGGGTGGATCTCAAGGATACCACACAAATTCCGAGCACAAGCAAGTGGTCACAAGACCAGTTCACATGCAGGTTTATAATAGAACAAAAGGTACAATGATCACAACCTAGCAAGAGTGAACATGCAGGTATATATATATATAGAGATCACAGTACAAACAGACTCAAGAAGTAAGCAAATGAGGTCCAGTAGGTACAAGGCCTAGAAGAGTGCAAAAGCGCTGATGGTCACAAGGCTGAAGCGCCTTGGTGAACACATCAGCAATGTTGGCCTCAGAGGCCACGTAACGCAGACGAAGCTGACTACGCTGCTGTAGCTCTTGAGCAAGAAAGTAGCGCAGAGCAATGTGCTTCGTTCTGTGCTCTAGTCTGTGCTCCTGACACAAGGCAATGGCTGCCTTGTTGTCGACGTACATCACTGGAGGAGAACGAGGCCGCTCTCCAAGGTCGGTCAGCAAGTAGGTGAGCCAGCGTAGCTCCTGGGCCGCCATGGCTGTGGCATAGATCTCAGCCTCACAACTGGAGCTGAGAACAGAAGAAGAGCGAGTAGAACGCCAAGAAAATGAACCAGAGCCAAGACTGAAGGTGTAACACTAAGATGACCGCTGAGTAGCCTGGTCGTCTGCCCAAGAAGCGTCTGAGTGCCCAGTGAGAACAACTGGGACTCGCCCTCCAAGCACTAGCCCCATGCCCGACGTACTGCACAAGTAGCGCAACACCCTCTTAGCTGCATCCATGTGCTCCTTCCGGTGACGGCCGGGAGCGACATAGCGTGCAAGAATGCTAAGAGGGTATGCAAGGTCAGGTCGAGTGCAGGTCATCAGGTACATGAGGCAACCCACAAGCTCTGGATACGGGCCACTCGGCTATACGGACTCATCCGAAGGCAGAGCTGAGAGCGAGTGACCGGTAGGCAGAGGAGTGGGCTGAGGCGAGGATTACGTGAAGCGGAAGCGCTGAAGGACCTGCTGCACCATGTGTGACTGAGTCAAGGTGATGGTGCGGCGTGCTCTGTCCCAGGTGATCCGCAAGTCAAGATAGCTTGTCAGTTCACCCAGGTCTGTGCACGTGTGTCTCTTCTGCAGCTCCGACTTCACGTGGGCGAGTGCCGCAGTGTCAGCAGTGGCAAAGACCAAGTCGTCGACGTACACGAGGATGTAGAACGGCGGTAGTGAGGTGTCGGTGCGTAGAAACAGCGACGGGTCAGCAGTAGAAGGCGCGAACCTAAGAGCCGCAAGTGTAGTCCTCAGTGTATCGTGCGACTCACGTGGCGCCTGGCGGAGACCGTAGACTGTTCGTCGGAGGCTCCACTGGGTAGTTGGAGGGAACGACCCACTGAAGCTAGGTGGACGGCACAGCCAGATCTCCTCGTGCAGGCTGCCCTGCAAGAAAGCTGTGCTAAAGTCAAGAGAGTGGAGCTCGTAGTCACGCAGAGCGGCGACGTGCAGCAGAACCCGAAGAGTGGTCATCTTCGAGGTCGGGGAGAAGGTCTAGAAGAAGTCAACTCCCTCTCGCTGACTGAAGCCTCGTGCAACGTAACGCGCCTTGAGGACAGGCGGAGAGCCCGGCGGCCGCTTCACCCTGAAAATCCACATGCCACTGACGATGTTCGCCCCAGGCGGGGGAACCTCGTCGACGTAGGTGCCTGTGGACTTCCAGGAAGCCATCTCTGTGTCCATGGCCGACTGCCACTGAGAGGAGTAGGGACCGGCCATCGCCTCTGTGTAAGAGCGCGGGGTCGGGATGTCCGGTGCATCCGGGTCTCCCTCAGGGGCAACAAGCATGGACACGAGATGGGGCAAAGCGGCAGCAAATCACTCAAACTCCTCTTGCCTGTCCTTAAGGACGTCAGTGCCAAGAGCACACTCACCCCCGACGGACGGAGGACAGACAGACTCAGACTCAGCAACCAGGCTAGCAGCGTAGTATAGACGACAGGTGGCAGCAAAGTCGACAAGCTCAGCAACTAAGGCAGACGCAGCAGCGGACTCAAAGGAAGGGTCAGTGACAACAGTAGCCAGGAGACGCATGACAGTAGGACTGGCAGCACGAAGGGAGTCTGACCCCGGGTCAGCAAGAGCAGGAAGAGAGGAAGTAGGAGGAGACGGCAGTGGGACACGCTGTGGAGCAGTGGACAGACGAAGCGCCATCCGGTGAGTGCCTGGGACAGCAGGAAGACGCTGACGCGGGACACGACTACCAGTAAGAGCAGCACGGACAGGCGACGCACGACGAGGCTCAGGCGACGCAGGACAAGACTAAGGCTCACGACGCTCAGTAAGACCTCCAGTCGGACCACTGTAAGGAGCAGGACCAGGGAGAGAGGAGGCAGACGGTAGCTGCGACGACAGCTGGGCAGACAGAGGACACCCTAAGGAGGGAGGAGGACACGGAGGAGGGAGCAGACCAAGAACCTGCTGAAGGAGCGGAACCAAGTACGGCCGCGGCCGTGCAGCGACACCAGAACTAGCAGAGACACCCGCACCAGGGTCCGCATCACCAGCAGCTGCACCAGCGGCAGGGTCTCCAGCACCAGCAGCAGAACCAACGCCCGGGTCCACAGCACCGGCAGCAGCTCCAACACCTGGGTCCTCAACACCAGCAGCAGCTCCAACACCTAGGTCCTCAGCACCAGAAGCAGCTCCAACGCCCGGGTCCGCAGCACCAGCAGCAGCTCCAACACCCGGGTCCTCAGCACCAGCAGGAGCACCCACGGCAGCGGGGTCCGCGACATGAGGCGCGCCACTCCGAAGAGTGCAGCGCCGCTCGTACCACTCACGGATCCGCTCACTGGAGGGGAGCTCCCGACTAGGAGGAGAAGCACTAGCACCAGTCCCAGTAGCACGCCTGGCTCCAGAGGTACCTCTCCGGAGGCTGCAGTACTGTAAGTACCACTCACGCAGCTGCTCCGAGGAGAGGGCTCCTCCAGGCGTAGGACTCCCAGGCTCAGCACCTCCAGACTCAGAACCCCCAGACTCTGGACTCTGCGGCTCAGCACCCCGAAGCTCAGCACCCCCACGCTCAGCACCCCCAGGCTCCGCACCCCCAGGCTCCGCACCCCCAGGCTCCGCACCCCCAGGCTCAGCACCCCCAGTCCCGGCACCCCCAGGCTCAGTACCCCCAGTAGGACGAGAGTCGACAGCTACCTCAACAGGCTCAACCGGGTCTACCTGAGACACACCTGAGGGAGCGGCACCCTGAGGGGGGAGGGGGTCTACAACTGCAGCACCTGGCGCGAGGAAGAGAGGCGGGGGGGGGAGCGGGGCAGTGCGGTAGGGGAAGAGGCGGTAGTAGGGGACGGACTCGTCAAAAGTGACGTCCTGAGAGGGCAAGACTCGGCGCGAGGTGGCGTGGTAAAACTGCCAACCAGGCGCGTCCGGAACAAAGCCGAGGAAGACGCAGGGAACAGCACGGGAGGAGAGCTTGTCCGCAGACGTATCGCGGACAAAAGCTCGAGATCCCCAGGCTCGGAAACGCTACGCATCGCCAACCTCCCCCATCCACAACAGTGTGGGCGAGGTCTCCGGCAAGGAGACACGGGGCCAGAGGTTGAGCTGATGCGCAGCGTACCGGACCGCAAACGGCCACAGAAAGTGGGGGGCAGCCGCATGG